AGGAGGGGGGGGGGAAATATTAAATATAAAGGTGAAAAAAGATGGCAGAGGAATTATGTGTGTGAATTGACAGTTTTACCTTAGAGCCTTGTGATCAGAGATGGGCTTGGTAGCTGTGAAGAAAATAACAGTGGCAGTAGGTGTAACATCAGAAGTATTGCCGTCTTCTTTCACCTTTCTATGTAATATTCTCTTTTTCTTAAATTTCTCTTTTTCAGCATTTCTCTTTCTAAGGTTTAAAGTGAATTTCCAATCTTCAACATCTGCCAGGCAACATTCCTCCCCTCTCCTCTCTCTCTTTTCTCATCTCTGCCCAGGTCTGGTGTCTGGTTTCTGTCTACTGAGGAATTTTTACAGGAGAGAACTAAAACAACAGAAGCCATAAATCACTGCATGTAAACATAACATACATCTAAGAGCCAATCAATATTTAGTATAAAACTGTTATTTCATTCAACTTTTCATTCTGTTTCCATACATCTGATGAAGTGGACATATCCAAGAAAGCGCACATTAAAACAGTTAGCCTTTAAGGTGCCACATGTTTTTCCCTGATATGCTTGCACAGACTAACATGGCTACCTCTTCCAAAACTACTATATTGAAATTTACCTTTTCCTTCTCAATGCCACTGCTTTTTTTTAGGAAGACTGAATTATTCAGTCAAAGATCTACTGTGTTTTATGCAGTTTGGTCCTTGTACAAGATCACAAACATTATCGTCACAGTAGTTATAAAGGCAAACATTGTAGCTTCGGAAGTTTCATGTTCAAAGCAAGCATTTTCTTCTGTTTTTCCTTCATATATTCTCTCTCTCTCTCTTTCTGTGTGTATGCGTGCACGTGTGCTTCTTTATAAAATATATACACATATAATACACAAATGGGGCAGTATACAAGTGTGTGTGTATATTTTGTTTTTAAAGATGAAATGATGGAAGAGCAATGACTTGATCAAAACTGATCTGCTCTAACTTGCATGGTGTGTGCTTCTTTATAAAATAAACTAAGACTTAAATTTCCATTTTAAAATTCTAGTGTGTGTTTTCTTCCTAAAATAAACTAAGAATTAAGTTTCTGATTTAAAAAATTCAAGTCATTATCATTTGTTTTTCTTTTTGCATTTTTAATGTGTAAGAGCATCAATACCATTGAAGGTTAAAAGGATCACATATTTAAAATAAATAAAATAATATCTTGCAATGGGTGTATGTTCATTTCTAATGAAGTTATCTGAGAGGCAGTTTGTATGATCAGCAGAATCAAGCACCTATAGTGAAGTGTTGAAGCCTAGGAATTGGGGCAAGTATTCAGAAAGCAGAGATGATGTTCCAGAAGGGTGGGAATTGTTGAAATGAAGGACTTAGAACCAGCTGAATCTAAATCAGTTTCAGAAGGCATCTGGGCTTCTCAGATTTGCCCACTCTCATCAGCCCTCCCTGCTTCCCCCTAACAAACAAGACTAACCTTTTATTCTGTTAAGGATGTAACAAATACCTGCACATTTTTATCTTGGATACCATATTTCAAAAATGTGTATCTGGCATGATTTTTTTACTCCTATTTGTTTGTTTGTTTATGCAATAGCCATAAACAAACAAACAAATGGCAAAATAAATCTTCTATTTTGTATATAATACGTGTTTTCCCAAAAATAAGAGAGTGTCTTACATTAATTTTTGCTCCCAAAAAAGTATTAGGGCTTATTTTCAGGGGATGTTTTATTTTTTTCATGTACAACCATCCATATTTATTCAAATACAGTCATGTCATCTTCTGGTTGCTGCACAATGGTGGAGAGTAGGAATTCACTTAATTAGGGCTTATTTTGGGGGTAGGGCTTATGTTACGACCATCCTGAAAAATCATAATAGGGCTTATTTTCAGGTTAGGTCTTATTTTCGGGGAAACAGGGTATAAGGCTCAGTGCACAGAATACCATGTTTCCTATGCAAAATAAAGTGGGGGGTTTTGCAGAAAAATAATTCTGAGCTTTTCTCCTAAAATCCCCAAATTTGGGAAATGCATAAAAATTTGCAGATTCAAAGAAAGCTTTTGAACTTTTTCCTTCTCATCTGTGAGGGTGTGACAAGCAAAGATTTACATCCCCATTCCTTACCTTTGGAAAGAGACAGATTATGGGAAAAAGAGACTTTACTCATTTGCTTATTCAGCAGTGATGTAGTGGTAAACTTTGAAGTGAAGGCCTTCCTTAAGATAATCCCCACAGCTAGACCCTGAAGCTGGCAAGCAAGGCCGGCAGGGGCATTTTGAGAGCTGCAGTGTGTGTGTGGGGGGGAAACACTCTTCCAAATTCTGCACAGGGGTGCAGCTGTGAAAATAGTTTTGCAAATATTCCTTGCAAATCTTTTTGAAGTCCTTTCAGTGGTGTTGTTTCCTTGTTTGCTATATTTGCAAGGAATCCTCTCACCATCCAAATGATTTCCCAGTGAACTGGTCAGGTCTTTGCATGTCGCTGGTACCGGTGAGGGAAAACTATACTGATTGTGCAAAACACCCCTTAATGGGGAAAGTGGCATAATTGAAACTAAGAGTCTTCAAAGCTGTATTGAATATATTGAAATATGTCCAATTTTTATTGGATTTTAATATGTGAGCAGATGGATGTTGTCACACACACCCAGCTCCTCTGTATGTTCTCCCTAACAAACAGATTTGCCTTCGGGCATGACATTTTCTCTTGTCTCCACTTCCACTGCCACCAGAGTAAATCCTTCCTCAATTACCAATTAAGACCACAGAATCAGTCGTGTCAAATATAACTTTGTTTATTAACAGATTAACATATTTAAGACTCAAGGAAATCATAGATGTTATTGTATTTGACGTCATTAAACATCATTTAACTTTGAAATATGCTGGTTACTTTGTATTTAGTTTCAATCACTTTAAAACAATTTATTTATTCCTTATAGTTTTCATTGCATTCAGTTCTCTTATACGTTTCTTTCCAAAACAATTCTTCCAACTACCTAACTCTTTCCCTAACTCTTAACTTACTGTTTCACTAACTGAAACCCCTAACTCCTGGCTAATCAAAACTCTAACTGATTATAACTGTCCTCCATTCTCTTCTTGTATTCCTTGGTTCCGCCCTCCTGCACAACCATTGGCTACTAAATCAGTGTTCCATTGTGATGGACAGGTGTAGTTTCTGGGCTGTCCATCACATATGTTATTCTTTTTTCTGAATCCACAGTGTGGACTCTTTTGCCTTCCAGATGTTTGGGATTTCATTTCCCAGAAAACCCAGCCAGCAGGGACAGTAACCTTTCCATATTCTACCTATGATTAACAGAAGCAGGGAAAAAATGCAGAGTACAGAAAGGCACAGACACCCGATCATGGAAAATTAACAACACAACAGAATTGTATTTGATTTTGCATACATTTGTGTGCAGCTTTTGTCAAATACAAATTTTCTTCTTGTGGAATTTGATTCCCTTCATGTGCAATTTTGATTTTGTACAGGGAGCACAAAATGCTTGAACCCTTTAAGCCTTGGCAGCAGTTTCTATAGGAGGTGCATTCCTGATCACTTTGACAGGGAAATCCCATAACACTGTTTAATGTTGTTTATCTCATGATGTCTGTTCATTTATTCACAACCAGGATAGAGCTGCGAGCACTGGGAAAGATCTCTGTTGGGGATGAGCTGACGGTTTCTTATGTTGACTTCCTCAACGTCAGTGAAGAGAGGAGGCAGCAGTTGAAAAAGCAGTATTATTTTGACTGTACCTGTGAGCACTGCCAGAAAGGAATCAAAGACGACCTGATGTTGGCTGTGAAAGATGGAGAAGGAAAGGTATGCTCTTAACATGAAGGGTTAACATTTCTGGTTATAAACCTCAGTGGTGCACATTTTGTTAATAAGGCTGACGAAAGCACCTTAAATAGGTTATAATGACGAATTAAGATAAGGTGAGTGTTTAAGATCTGCCATACTAGCCTATTACTAACGAATGTTTTCACCATCCTTACTAATGAATTAATATTGTAAATTGATCCATTGACATCCTAGTCTAAATTTATCAGTTTGTCTCTCTGTTGTGGCTATTCCACAACAGGAGGAAGGAGGGTTTTAAATTATATTTAATAACCATTATTGATTTACCACAATTAATACTGCCCAATTTTAACTACACAAAATTGTTTTCATTGTATAAATTCCATTCATTACAGTTATATTTTAGATCTTTGAAGCTGATTGCTTTTAAGTATATTGGCCATTTAATTCTTGTATAGTTTTATTTATGCCATATTGTTATTTTCTCCTATTATTACTTTGCACGTTATACCTATTCTAGAAATTGCAGGTTGAAGTCCTGTCACCCTGTGAAGGAGATATGAATAACATACAAACTGTGATGGTCAGAGGAAGGTATGGCATTGGCACAGTAGCAGTTAAATCTAAAATAACGAGGGTCAGATGTTTGAAGGTTCTCCCTTGTTCTAGCTCTGTCGCCAATGGTCAGAACTCAGGTAACTAGCTCAGCCAGCCGTCCACTCTATCCTTGATGTTGATAAATGCCAGATCTGGACAAGGAGAAAGTGACCAATTTGACATGGGCCACCACCTGATAAAATGCAACCTTTCTGAGGCACTCCCCCCCCCCGTGGGGAGCAGGGACCCATTAAGACGGTTCATCCCTGCAGGCTATTGGATCTGTTTGGTTTCCAAGATGCAATGCAGGCATTATCGGCTGAACTAGTTGGCATTCCTGTCAAAGCTCTGGTGGATGGATGGTACGCCGCTGCCACCAGGGCAGTTGACATGATCACACCTAAACACCCCCTCCTTTGCCAAACACATCCTGCTGCTTGATCTAACTAGCAGCTATGTGTGATGAAGCAGAATAGGAGGAGGCTAGAGAGCATTTGGAGACGGGACCGACAGAAGCTAAGAATCGCACCTAATATCTACCTAGCAAAAGTGACGACAGAAGCTAATTTAAAAGCCACAAGATTCGCACCTAATATCTACCTAGCAAAAGTGAAGGCCACAAGATGATCTTACTTTGCTTCCTGGATAAGCAAAGCTCCTAACCACCAAGCCAAACTTTTTCCATATTGTGTGTGATTTATCCAGGGCTGGTCACAGGCATGGGCTTCCCAGTAGTATCTCCTGAGACCAATTTGTGGCCTTCTTTAAAAACGAAGTGGAGACCAACTGCCAGGTCCTGGATTCCTCCTCTTTATCAGTAGATCAAGCCAAAATATCCACTTGCCCGAAGAACTTTATACAGTTTCAGCCTGTGATGTCAGCTGAGGTTGACAGGGTGCTTGACCATTGTAGGGCCATCATCTCTGCACTAGATCCTCACCCGGCCTGGCTGCTGAAAGCATTGGTTGCCCTGCAAGATGACCTTTTTTGCACTAGATCCTCGCCTGGCCTGGCTGCTGAAAGCATTGGTCGCCCTGCAAGATGACCTTTTGATGGAGACTGATAAGGGCAAAACATTCTTGTTGGTCCTCCTTGACCTATCAGCGGCCTTTGATACAGTCAATCTCCTGGGGAGGCTTTCTACAGTAGATTAGACTACTGTAATGCTCCCTATATGGGGCTGTCCTTGGTGCTGTCACAGAGACTTCAGCAGGTCCAGAACTCGACCATCAGACTACTAAGTGGGGTGAGAAGGCATCTCAGACTACTAAGTGGGGTGGGAAGGCATCAATGTATCTCTGCCACCCTGGCCATCCTGCACTGGTGACCTGTTCATTTCTGTGCCAACTTCAAGGTAATGGTGTCAACATGCAAAGCCCTAAAAGGTTTGGGACCTTGTTATCTGGCAGAATGCCTCCTTCCAACCAGATCTGCCCATCCTGTAAGATCTTCACAGGCTGGATGGCTAAGAGTGCTGACCTCGAGAGAGGCCCAGAAAATAGTAACCAGAAACCAGGCCTTTTCAGTGGTAGCCCCACAATTGTGGAATGCTCTCCCGCCCAATATTCTTCTAGCGCCTTCATTGGGAACCTTTAAGCAATTATTTAAAACATTTCTATTTAGACAGGCCTTCCTGGACTCTATGACAATAGCGCTAAAATAACCAGAATTTGCTAATGTTCAACCTCTGCCATGCTTTCTTTATTTTATTTTAATGTTCTATTGATACTGCTTTCATGTGTTAATATTGTATTATTTTACTTTATTGTCCGTTTTTGTATTGTTTGTCTTTATAAAGTACTTTGCTTTATGGTATCATGTAAACCATCCAGAGTGGCCTGGGTTGGTTTTATTTTATTGTCTGTTTTTTTATTGTTTGTCTTTATACTTTGCTTCATGGTATCATGTAAACCGTCCAGAGTGGCCTGGGTTGCCAGATGGGTAGTATAGAAATAAAACAAACAAACAAACAATTAAATAAATAATTGAATAATCAATCAAACAAACAAACAGTTCATGGCCTTACCTTACTCTCCAAGGAAACACCTCTCAAGCTTTGGCTTTGTCAGCTTTTCTTTGTTAACCTGCTTCCTGAGGAATGTTGTGCATTATAGACAATGGTGAGGGGGCCAAGGAACTATATTCCCAGATTTATTGGAGCCACACAGTACCTTCAGCACATGGTCAAGAACAACCAGCATCTCCCTTGGAAACATTGGCAATGTTTGGTAATGAACAGAAGGGTTACTTTTTAAGAGAGATTTCTCCCTGCAAAGTGACCCTTTCTGGCGCAATTAGACATGTGCATTTTGTGCTACCCGATTACACTCTCACTTTTCAGTTGCCTATAATAGAAAATGACATTGGCCCTACTGATATTGGCCATTTTTTCCCTGGTATTTTATGAATAAGAGGATAGCTGTTATGGATGCTCTTTAGCTAGCCCGAGAAGAAGAACTGCAGAAGCAAATGCCAATAACCTTCTTTTGCTTCACATAGCCATCTTCAGATGTGGTGAAGGAAGTCATCCAGTTCTCTAAGGACACTCTGGAAAAAATCGATAAAGCACGTTCCGAAGGGATATACCATGAAGTAAGTCATAGGAAGTTTGATCCCTTGCTTACTCAGATGTCGAAATGTTTTGACAAGGGTTACCGAGCAATTTCACTTAATGCCAGCATTATTCTGCAGAAAGGGGAGAAGGCACAAGATGTGATCCCCACCTCCCATCTGAAGTGAAGGATTCTGCCATGGTGGTGAATGCCAACAGCTGAACAGACTTGCCATCTAACTGGATACAGTGAGGCGATGTCCTCCCATTCTCAATGCATACTTAAGTGGAGTGTAATTGTGAACAGCCTTCCCATTCTGTGACTAGAAACAGAGTGGTGGAGGTTTAGGTGGATCACATGACTCATTTGAAGGTGTTTGATCATCCCTGTCATCTCTTTTGATCATTCTCTGTCAAGACTTCAATAATTTATTAAGCCTGTTACGTGATTAAAGACATTAAAAACAAAGGTTTCCCTGATTAAATAGGCAACATTTTAGGAGAACAATTCTTGTTTCCCCACTTTCCCCCTCCCCTTCCTCACTTCTAAATTGGTCCTGCCACTCTGTCTTCTGCTCTGTCTTAGGTACCAGGGTGGAGAGGGTGTAGGTGCAGGTATAGATGTTCTTTTGAGTCATTGCCATTGCCTCTCATTACTTTACTTCTTGACAAAGTCAACTTAGTTTTTTTAAAATCTTAACATCTGGCTGTCTCCCTCCGCCAAGGTGAGACAACACATTTTTCAACTGAAGTCCATGGGATTACCTTTCAAATAGCCTGGTCCAGAAACCATGCTATTTGCCTTCAGAATGAAGGGCTTTATACCTACTTGGATTTTTTCAAATTGAGCCAAATACAGTACAATTAATGAATTGATTATGATTAATGTAACTAGTTTCATACGATTTCTTCAGTTGCAGAGTATACTTAATTGTAAAGTTTATTTAACTCACTGAGAGCCTTACATTCATCACTGGCTTTTACTGCACAGTTCATTCACTACTATTAGATCCTTATTTGTCTGTTTCATCTTGAATTTAGGGATGATCCTCAAAGTTCTATCCCTGCCACTTCCTTTCTATGAAACTTTAGTGTTTCCAACATCACCTAAAATCCTAATCAGCCCATTAATGTTATTCATCCATTGGTTTAGATTTCAACTTGAAGCGTTATACCACTGTAGAACTGTTAAACAAAATGTATTCTGTTCTGATCTGTTTTTAATTGGCAAAATGCAGAAGGGAGAAGCTTACAAGAATTACTTATTACATAGAATCTAAAATCCTGCTGCCAGCAAAACTCAAAAGACAGAACTTTTGGCAGCTAATTATTGCAAATTACAAAGTCAGTGAAGACCTTATTTGTTACACACTAAGTTACACAATTTAGTATGCAATAGATAAGATTACATTGACTTGCATCAATTTGGTGCCAAAAGTTACAATATTTCCCTGCAATTGGATTGTGGCCACTCTCTAGTTATAACAACAGCTCAAAGTGCCACTGATCTATATCAGCCATCCCCAACCTGATGTCCTCCATATGTGTTAGAGGGCAGCTCCTGGCTTATAAAAGGTGCAGGGTTCATCTATGCTACACAGTTACTGTATATCAAATGTGATTCCACTGCAACTGCCATAGCTCTGTCCTATGAAATGCTGGGAAGTGTAGTTTGGTGAGGAACTTAGAATCCTCTGCCAGGGAGCTATCCTGAATTATGGAACAAGAACTCTCTAGCTAGAATTGTAAGTACCCCCAGCATTCCACCGGATGGAGCCTTCCAAGACATCTGACAGATGGCATGTTGAGGACAGCTGATCTATGGTCTCAATTCTGAACATATAGCTAGCCCAGGTAGCTTATCAACACTCTGCCAGAAAGGAATTCCTTCTTCACAGGTATGTCAAATGAGCAATGGAACATTCTTCTGAACATCTGTAAGATAAAGGGTCACTAAAACAAAATATTATTGAGCTATTACACTTCAGGATTGTATGAACAGATGGCCATGTTATGTTCTGCTCTTCATTGACCAAACTCTCCATGCTTGTCCTAGGTTGTAAAGTTATGCCGAGCGTGCTTGGCAAAGCAAGAGCCAGTGCTGGGCGACACCAATATCTACATGCTTCGCATCCTAAGCATTTTGTCAGAAGTTCTCTCTTACCTCCAGCTCGTTGAGGAAGCAGCTGGTTACGCAAAACGGATGGTGGATGGTTACTTGTATGTGACAGATGTCCCGATTTTTTTTTACAAGAGGAGAGGCAACCTAGTGACCTCCAGATGTTTTGGCATACAACTCCCATAATGCCCACATATTAACCAGGCTTTCTGGGGCTTTGGGGAGTTACAGTACAAAACAAGTGGATGGAACCAGGAGCCCTAACTCCTGCTTTATTAGTAGTATATTCAGCAACTCTTATATTTTTATTGTACCACCAAAATATTCCTTACTGGCACAGAGGTATGAATGTATGTAAGCCCTTCACTTCCATGGGAAAGAATTTACTTTGGGGCACCAGTGATGTAGAAACCATTATAGCTAAAAAAAGGTTACTTGGAAAATTAGTTTTGGGGTTCTACATTTGAAAATCTCCCTGAAGCAACTTCATCAAGTTCAGGCAACAGCTAAATCTATGCTTTGCCCCAGTAACATCAGCATCTAGGCTGAGCAGCAGGCTCTGATCTTCCTCCACCTGCATCGTATTTTGAAGCGCCTTGACATCAGAGCACTGAAAGTCAAGCCCATTAAGCTCTGTGCAGCCCCATCTTTGACTTCTTTCTTTGTGCTCGGGTGAATCTTCAGGAACTATGTGTGTATTTATCGGATATCACAGCTTCCCAGGTTGTGCTCCTAAAAAGTGTGGCACAGATGCAACCACCTCTGAAGTGAAGTGCTTCTGGAGTCCAGTTTTCCCCTGGGAATCCCTTTCATGTCACTAGACTGTAATGATGGGTGGGGGAAAGCAAGACAAGCTGTATTGCAAGCACCCCTATACAGAGAGCTTCTTCATTGTCCTGAGCTGAGGAAGGCCTGGTTCTGCCCTGCTTTGCCCTTTGTGTTCCTCACACTCACAGTAGTGTGCTCAGTGAAGGGTAGATGAGTATGCTGGGCTTTGTCATGGCTGGAGTTAAATTAAGAGGTTAATCTGTTTCAACATGTATAACAAAAACAAGATCAAAATGAGGAATACAAACAAAAGTATTGTGATACTTTAAAAACTAAGACCGAAAATCCCACTGGGGTTTTATGAACGCATAAGGGCAACTGCAGAACATTGTCCTTCTCTGTTGGGCTCCTCTACACAACTGGTCACATGACTGGTAGCATGATCAGTTCCATAATCAGTCCTTGCCCAGGTGTGCAGAGGAGGGCTTGTCACAAAGCATATATTTTCCCCACAGTCCTTAGGTGACAATAGCTGAAATCCAGTTCATAATCAGTCCTTGCCCATGTGTGCAGAGGAGGGCTTGTCACAGTTGTCCTTAGGTGACAATAGCTGAAATCCAGTATGAAGTTGTAACTAGAGTAAGCCTATTGAAACAATGGAACTTGCAAAGGAATTGAGTCAACAGATCCCCACTGATTCAATAGGCCTACTCTAGTTGCGACTTAGTACTGGATTTCAGTCAGTATAAGGAAATAGGAGCCTCACCTAACAGATGGTTTAAATACAGCATACACTGTAAGGGTGAGGACCTAGTGAAAATAGCTATAGGAACAGAATATGACATTTCAAAGTTACAATAGCATTATAAAGATAAGCAACAAACTACAAAAGTGATGACTGCATAAACTTCTTGGCAGTTGCTATAATGATTACCTTCCTGTCAGGTGATGACTGAAAGATAAAGACATTAAAGGTTTGTTTTTTTATTGATTTATCTTCTGGTTCTGAAACTACACAATTTTGTTCATAGGCAAGATAGTAAAGGAGACTGCTTTTATATATATAGTAAGCTGTGAATCCTTGGTCTATATTTAAGTCTTTTGACATACTCTGGAATCTGTGTATATAGCTTTCAAATTCCAAAGTATGTTGAACAACTTAAGTATAGACCAAGGACCAAGGATGTTCAGTTCACTATAAAAAATTACTTAGCAGTTTTCTTTATTATCCTGTTCTATGGACAAAATTACTTACAGTAGCCTCAAAACCTGACATTGATTCAGGAAAATAGACAATTAAAAAAAATATGAGCTTCAAAGCTCAGCTGATTATCACCTCATGGACTAGCAATCAGTGAATTAACGGCCAAAGAGTTTATATAGCATTAGTAAGACAAGTAATGGACAGTGTTGATTATATAATCAACACTGTCCATTACTTGTCTTACTAATGCTATATAAACTCTTTGGCCGTTAATTCACTGATTGCTAGTCCATGAGGTGATAATCAGCTGAGCTTTGAAGCTCATATTTTTTTTAATTGTCTATTTTCCTGAATCAATGTCAGGTTTTGAGGCTACTGTAAGTCCTGCCTATCTGGTCAGTTAAGACCACTCTCGGCGGCTAAGATTATATAATCAACACTGTCCATTACTTGTCTTACTAATGCTATTGCAACTTTGAAATTTCAATTCTGTACCTATAGCCACTTGCATTGCCTTCCACCCCTATTATATGCACACTGTATATAACTTCGAGGCTAAATATTGCACTATATGTGTCTGAGGAAATCAGCTGTAATCCACAAAAACTCCCAGTGAAATAAATCTGTTAGTCTTTACCATATCACTATACTTCCATTTTTATTTTTGTTTTGATTTTTTTATAGATGGATGGACTCACGAGCTCAACATCTGACAATTCCACATGAGAAAAAAATAATGTTTTCATTCAGATGGGAATTCGTTTTCCCATTCCCTGAGATTTCTGAGCCAAACTGAGACCAGGGCATAGACTTTTGTGATGCCACAAATGTATATCTGGCAAGTGGTGGGAAAGAGATCTTTCCTCTGAGACGACATTCTCTTGTTGCCAGGATTTGTGCTACAAGAAGCTGAACAGTCAGAACGCTAGTGGCCCACTCTCTATCTTGCTCCAATTTTTTATTATGGGCCAAATACAACAACACGACAAAAGCAACACAACACAAAACAGTAGGCTTGGAGTGTGGGAGGGGAGATGGGATAGATCTGGTAGATGCATGAATTAGGAACCATTGTGCCATTTGGAGCAAGTTGCAAACAAACACCATCACACTGAAACACCCAGTCATCTTGCCAGCTGTAAATGGATGACAAAGTGTCCCCAACTTTAAAACTACCAGAACACAAAACCCAAACTATCTACCCCAAGTGCTAAGAATGCAACCAAAAAATCTGTAAAAATTGCAAAGTTTGATTTGCAATGTTGATGCTTCTTACTTTGTATTCCTCAGAAAACTTTATCACCCAAACAATGCACAGCTTGGAATGGCCCTCATGCGTGCAGGAGTGACACACTGGCATGCTGGCCTCATTGAAGCAGGGCACGGGATGATCTGTAAAGCCTACGCGATTCTCCTTGTGACACATGGCTCCACTCACCCAATTACCAAAGATTTAGAGGTAGGTGGTTAGAAGGATAGTAAAAAGTTCCTTTTGGGCTCGCTTGGATGCATATATGTTCACACGATGATGCCAGTGGATTCTGGGGAATAAATCTGTTCAGAAACTGGTCCAAGTGGAAAATACTTTGCCTGTAGCACTTTGGTGTCTACACCAGCTACAACCATGTAGCTTTTGTCCAATACATGTTAGGAGCTCGGGGCTACAATGGGTGCAAAAGTTACAGCCTAAGCTTGCAGTAGTCAAAGGGATGCTGTTGTAATTCAGGGTACAAAAAAAATGCACTCTGTCAGTATTGTGCCTCGTGAGATGTCTGCCTTCATTTAAAGAAAGCCATGTTTCTAGCCATTATAATAGGGAAGGTGAGCCCTTCCCCCCCTTCTGTCAGCTAGGGATGTGAATCCTCATTTTATCATTGCAGGTGAGGAAGAGGAAGGGTAACATTCTTCTCCTTGCTAGTAAGAATTGCAAGGAATTTCTTGATACTTTCAGTAGAGTTCTCATATTGATGGCAACCATGTTTGTGTCAAAACTAGATGTTTACAGCTCTGTTGTCAGTTCAGGCAGACCTTCTGTGCTTGCTGTATATGTGTGTTTGCTTTGCTTCTCAAAGGGAAAGGACTGTAGAGATATATGTATGTTTGCTTCTCAAAGGGAAAGGACTGTAGAGACATTTTAGAGAACTTAAATGCAAACAGATGTATGTGAAGTCAAACCTGGGAAGTCAGGTTTCCTTGGGTGAATTTACATCGGCCAACCACAGAGGAATCAGCAAAGAGAGAGGAGGAAATTGGCAATCAGCCTTATTTGCAGCTTGTTAGGATAGCACTGCTGTGGTAATCCAGATTTGCAGCAGGCATGTTTATGGTTGAGCTACCCTATGAAGCTGCAAACAAAGGCTGTGTACCTATTTCCTCCTCATTCTCTCCTGACTCCTCACTCTTTCCCCCCTCCTTGGTCTCCTAAGTGTCCTACTGGAATGGCACTAAGCTTTAAGGGAAGGAAAGAGGGAGGGAATGAGAAGGTTAGGAGAAAACATGTAGACCCAGGTACCAGGTTTGGGGAGGAAAGGATTCAAAGAGCAGACAATACCCTGCCTCTGCCACTGCTGCTGTAGCCAGCAGGAATGGCTTGAAACAGGACAGCTCCAAAGGACACTACACTACCCTGCCTCGGTCACTGCTGCTGTAGCCAACTGGAATGGCTTGAAACAGGACAGCTCCAAAGCCTTCTCACGGGCAGATGAAAATTCAAAGGGGGGGGGCGAATTACAGGCTAATTTGCATTGACCTGTACATTGTGTATACCTACCCTGCCTCGGTCACTGCTGCTGTAGCCAACTGGAATGGCTTGAAACAGGACAGCTCCAAAGCCTTCTCACGGGCAGATGAAAATTCAAAGGGGGGGGGCGAATTACAGGCTAATTTGCATTGACCTGTACATTGTGTATACCTGGGAAGATGAAAAAAATTCAAATGGAGGGGGGGCCAAATTACAGGCTGATTTGCATTGACCTGTACATTGTGTATACCAAAACAAGAGAAACACGGTGCTCATCCAAAGCTTTAAACCCCTTGCATAGTATTCCATCATGTCAGAGACCACATTGTCAATAGTGAGGAATTTAATATTCTTTCCCTACCTACTGTAAGCCTAACCCAATGGCTGATGATCCCCCTATAAGCTGCTCACCTTCCAGGTGGGACCTGAGTGGGAAGACATTTTGTTGTTATCTCTGATTAGAGATCAGTTGTAACAGTGGGATTCCATCCGGCTGCACCCTGTTGGAGTTCCCTATTGAGAGTGCAAGTGGTGTGCTAAAATAGCTTTTCTCCAATCAGCAATCAGAGGTAACTGGAGAGTTCTCCATACAAAGACATGGAACTCTGTGCCTCCCTCTTTATGGAGAAAGGAAAATAGACATTGGAAGATGGGAAGACTTCGAAGCGAAAGGAGTAGCTTGAGCAGAGTCCCACTGTCATGAGGTCATCTGGATTGCTGGTTCGGCCCTAGTAGGCAATCATTACAGCTCCCTACCTTTTCCATAGGGCTATGAACATGCTCATGAATGTGTGTAAGACAGTCTCAAATCACTAACGTTGCAGAATTTTACATATTAAATGGGTAGGCCATTTGTGCCCCGTATAATTCCTTACCCCTAAGAAGCAAGATCAACTGAGCATAGAAGAATTTGGTTTATTTGTAACCCAGATGATAATCAGCCTATGGTATAACCAACTGGGCTCTTATTTCCCATGGCTCGCAGGCAGGATGGAATCAGGACTAACCAGAAACACTAAAGTTGCAGAATTTTCCATATTAAATGGATAGGCCATTTGTGCCCCATATAACTCCTTACCCCTAAGAAGCAAGTTCAACTGAGCATAGAAGAATTAGATAATCAGCCTATGGTATAACGAACTGGGCCCTTATTTCCCATGGCTCACAGGCAGGATGGAATCAGGACTAACCAGAACTGTGTTTTTCTTCTCATTTCCATGCATTCAGGCTATGCGTGTCCAGTCTGAGATGGAGCTGCGCATGTTCCAGCAGAATGAATTCATGTACTACAAGATGAGAGAGGCAGCTCTACAGAACCAACAGATCCAGATCATGCCTGAGCCCACCAATGAGATTTCGCCTGGCATCTTCCAGAAGAAGCAGTAAGAGGCCCCTTTGCTTCCCTGAAAGTGTCTTCTCATATTCCTGTTGCTGACGCAATATCAGCATTTATGGTTTTGAACAGAATGAAGGTGACAAACCAAGGAACCTAGTGGTGGTTTCTGACTGCAGATGGCTCCAGAATGAGATTGTTTTTCTAAATGCTCAGCATGCTGGTTTAGAAGTGTTTTATATATAAATCACCCAGCAGCCACCTATATCCACTAATAATTATAATTAATAAAATTGTTACAACCACCCATACCTTCAAACACTGTGTTCATTTGGGGCTCTGTCACACACAGATATATGAATGCTTCCTTGCCAACTGTATTCATACATTAAGCTGGGCACAGCACTGAAACAGTATGGCAGAAGACTTAAAAAGGTGAAGAGGTAGAAAAGAGTGTATGAGGTGGAACGGACTTCCTTACTCTCCCCACTAAAGTGTTAACAGTGTTATTTATTTTCTGTTTCTTTCTTTCTTGAAAAAAAATAAGACTTGAGGTCCTCAGGAGGCATTTCCTTGGAACTTCAGTGAAATCCTAATATAGTAGCTGAAAGCAAAACAGATCCTCCCCTGAAACTGTATATTATTGCATGCTGTCCCAGTAGTGAAAAGTATTTGGGGTAGGGGGTGGTCTTGAATGGGCAATCAAGAGCTATTTACTTTACAAAAAACCTGCTGCTCACTTGTTAATATGGACTGATGCAACTGCCTGTAGTTCTGGACTCTCCTGGAAGTAGCTGGCCATGGAACCCGTCAGAATGAGTAAATTTCCTGCTGTACCTCTGCATATGAACTAGCCAAGTCGCTGCTAAGATGTCATTCTATTTTTTACAAAACCGCAAAATTATTTTATGTGAAAATTCTACAGATCCCTTGTCTTAATTTGGTCTTTGAATGACAAGCACTACATTGGGGACATGTTCACTTATAGTTGGTGGGTATTGTTAAGATTCAATTTTTTTATGTTACGTAGACAATAGAGGATTTTTAAAAAAGGAGTACAATCATATATAAATGATGTTTATATCTGGCCGCAACTGATCATTTGTCCTGGTCATAAAGGACACACTGAATATGTGTGAGGGAATTTGATCCTGGGGTGGGAGTTTTAAAAAAAACACCTCACTACAGGCTTATTGCTTCCTTTTACAGATCTGCACAAGAGGATATGCCTTTTCATTAAAGTTCAGAAGTCACTTGAAACTAAACACTATGGATGGAAATCATGCTGTTGATTTGTCCTGTCATTTGTACTCCTTACATGTGGGTGGGTGAGAATGGTTGTTTGCTGCCATGACTTACTGACGCCATAAACTGGCAGTAACAGTCAGCGGCACCTCCTTATGGCTTCCGTGTGTCAACAGCTACGCATAAAACACAAATTTGACAGGAGAAGCTTTTGTTCGCCCTGTCACACTGGTGTTGCATGCAAGCCACTGGGCTGGAAACCAAATTGGCAACTGACACAGAGCATGCTTGCTTTCCTCCACCTAGCACCTTTCCCCCAGTGGAGTAGCACCATAACTCCCATGATCCCCTGCTGTCTTGGAGTAATGGGAGTTATAATCCAAGGCACTGCATAGCTTGTATTTTTCTCCTTCATCACTCTTCAGAACTGAGGGTGGGGAAACTTTGGCCCTGTCGGCATTTTGGACTTCAATCTCCAGCAGCCGCAGGTAGCCGCCAGTTGTAAACATTTCTGGGACTTATAGCCCATAAACTAAGGAAGGCAAAAGTTCCTCAAACTGTGTATCAAATAGAATGATAATTAGCTTGTGTTAAAAAGAGAGCATAGGAGACAGTAGCTCATGCTTCTACCCTGCTTCCCCATGTCAGCAGAATCTCAGAGAATTCTTTGCGATTCAAAGCCAAGCCACAAGTCCAGAAAGTGTATCTTTGTTAAGACATAGGAGCTGTGTGATGTCACAGAGGCAGGGTGGGCAAAGATTTCAAGGTGGCTTGAACTGCTTCTGATTTCCTTTGGAAATGGGCACAGCGACAATCTGGGCAAATGGACTCAGAATTTGGGAAAAGCCAGTTTATAAGTTATTATTGGGCAATACACAGCTGGGAATGGCACACACCCCAATCACCTGTAGCAAAACGTTCACAATAATTGCCACCATTTCCACTAAAGGTTCACATCCTGCAGCATACACAACACATGGGGATTGTCTCCAAACCCTATGATACTACTAGGATTTGCAGAAGGCTCATTGGGGGCTCATAGTGAATCCCTGCACCCCATCCTGCACTGCTGCTACCAGGGCTGGTCGAACAAGAAGACCCATCATGAGAGATGTTGGCTCTCCAATCCTTGTTTTGCTCCAAATGGCACAGTGGGCCTGTTAGGTTCTTTTCCCCAGGCTGCACTTTGATGACTAGATTGGGGGGTTGATTTGCTCGGGATGAAAGCTGCTACCAAACACTCTTCCCCCTTTTCATTCAACAAGCAGGAAGAGCACACTTACAATGGAAATCCGTCTCCCATCCTGTGACCAGTATATTTCCTACCCCGTTACCAATACCCTGTGACCAAGAAACTCAGTAAACAAGAACACAAACTGTAAAGGCTTTTTGACACCTTTCTTAGCTGTGGATGTATCTAGAAAGTATGAAGACCAAAAAAGGTACTGGGTAGGGCCATATGTATGTAGATACAACACATTCTTACATTTTATAATTACTGTCTCAAGAATAAGGTGTGTCAGTGGAAAACAAGGTGAAGGTCATTATGGTATTTGGGATTACCATGTGCAAATATGAACCTTGAACAGTGAAGAAAGCTGACACGGAAAAATTAAATCCATTTGAAATGTGGTGTTAGAGGAGAGTTTTAAGGATACCATGGACCACCAGAAAGATCTGCATGTTGGTGCTAGATCAGATCAAGCCTCCTTAAAAGCAAACATTACTATGTACACTGAGATACACCAGTAGTCTGGGCCCATCATGAAAAGAGGAGGCTTACTGAAAAAGACAATAATCTGAGAAAAAGTTCGAGGCAGCATGGAAAGAGAAATACTAAGACATGGACTGACACAATGAAGGAAGTCATAGCCTTGAGCTTGTTAGAGCTGAGCAGAGATGTTAAAAACAGCACCTTTGGGAGGCCATTGATTCATAGCATTGCCATAACTGGGAAACTATCTGATAGCGTATTACAAACACTGTTTTTTTTAAAAGGTGAAGGCAAAGAGAAGGATCACAGGGCTTCTTCCTGGACACAACTTGATTAAAAAGATAAAATTAAAATGCAGACATATCTGAGTGACCAGTATCTCAGCGAAATGTCCCTCATTTGTTAATTGACAATCCCTGGCTTTCTCTGTCATTGAGACCCATCTTCTAAGTCTCTGGCCTTTCCAACCTTATGGGGACAGGAGAAAAAGGACAAGGGACTTCCTTGCTGATCATTTAACAATCCCTGAATCAACATTATTGATTAATATTTGTCAGTCAGGAGTAGCATAATTATAGAGATCACTGAATGCCTTTCTCCTGGTACTAATCCTTTACTCACATGCGCAATCCTAGAATAGGGGAAAAAGTACTTTTAGTTCAATTTTGCCACATAATGGTGTGGAAGAACCACTTGCCATGACTCACATCAAGTCTGCATATCCATTAGCTCTCCTTTCACCCCTTGCTCATGGCTTTTCAATGTTTCACCAATGCACAAGTGTACTGCATATGCAAATACCTTCATTCTGAACCGATGAGTCCTGGCGCCATCTGTTACTAAGTGGCAATAGATGCTCAGAATGTAAAGCCACCCCGCCTCACACACACAAAGGAAACCTTCTCTTCACCACCACTTGTCCTGAAATTTGTCTCCCTCCTTGGAGAGCAACAGCAGGTTGCTGAGACTTCATTTGATGCCCTGAGACTTGGAAAGACTTCTCTGTCCCTCGCTGGGTGGGGAAACAAAGGATGACTACAAAATGGCAACGCAAAAGCACAGTCAGTTTCTTTCCACTACAGTATACTAGTGCCAGTTGAGTGGGAATTGTACATTATCTGATCCCATTACTTAAAATCCCATTTGCTTTGGTTGCTTTATGAATGAGGGGAAGTTCATGCGCAGCAACATTACATGGCTGCTTCAGTGTAAAAAATAATTTAGAACAGTACCGAAACAATAGAATAAACAAATTAAACAGAAAAGTCCATTGTTCATTTTTTAGGGAAATGTTAATACTGCTTGGACAAATTCTATAAATTGATCCAATGCCTAAAACTGAATAAATGTGGTTTTATTTGACTCTCACTAGGGGATTGCCCAAAGAGAACATCGCCAAAGAAAAGATCCTCTTTCCAACTGGTAGGGGAACATGGAAGAGAGATTCACAAAAAGTATCTTGATTTGATGGGGAATGCCACTAGCACAAAGACTAGACACAAGTAAAGGGTGCACTAAGTGGTGCCTCCTGCACTGGCTTCAATTCTTTAAAAACACTGCTACCTTAGAAGTTTCATTGTAGAAACCCGAGTGCAGCATGCTCTAATGTAACAAAAGTGTTCGCTCAAGGAGAGAAAAGGGTATGATTAGCCTTCCGCAGGGTAACTTATTCACTGGTTTTGCAAACACACCTGGTGGCAGGGAATGGGGAACTTCAGAACTGCTTAAGCATTTCCTGCAAGCCAGGAAATATACCTAGCTTGGTATATTACAGAGAACCCCAGCAATAAAAATAGGGATTCTCAAAGAGCTCCTTACTTAGGACTATCAATACTCATATTCTCCTTTACTTGCCATTTCTAATTTGGAAAGACTGCACTGGGAGCCTCTGGATACTTCATTATCTCAGAAACTTGAAAGGGACAGTAAGCAGAAGAGTAGCAGAGCTCTCCGATCAGAAAACTGATGCAGAAAACACCAGAGATGGCTACAACTAACCAATTCTCTGTTATATTGGTCAAACCATAAGAATCAGAGACATGCTAGAGATTTGGGAGTCAAGCAGGAAAACAATTCAGTGTGGCCTTGGCTTTGGTGGCCACAGAATTTGGAAAGATTGCTTTTCACTACCATTCCCACAATTCTCCAGGTAACATGGCTGGATGAGGGGGGGGGTGTTCTGAGACTGGCAGTCCAAGAAAGTAACTTTTCTAAGCATGATGTAACTATCTGCAGTTGGCCAAGTGATGACAACAAACAGACGTTTGTATAAATTGTACTTTATTGAACCACTTTTACACAGCAAAAGCATAGAAATGCCTACGTGTTTTAGATTCTCTTACTGATACTCCTGTATTGATGGTCACCCTTGATCAGTGTCTAGAAAAGAAAGAAAAACAATACCTTTAAACTTCTATTATCATCGTCTGCAGATACTCAACATCCACAAATGAGAATACACAATTTTTCCAAACTGAGACCAACCAACCATATCAGATTCTTATTTTTCAAAATGCAAAGTTAGAAATGCAAAACAGTGTTGCACATGTGAAATACCTATTAATGCATGTTTAGTGTGCACAATCTGGGTATACAGTTAAAAACAATATCCCTGAGGGAGTTTTATTACTTGCTAGCAGGAAACAACTGCATTTTTGGTATTTCTAACTCATGTTAAAAAGACCAGTGATCTCTCTTCTTTAAATTTATCAGATTCAGCAGCACTGAATTTTTTGTGCATTTTGTTTGCATCCTTAATAACTTCCCTTCTTCTGTGTTGGTCTGACAGGGAAGAGCAGGTAACATGAGGAGGAGGCCTCAGTCAGTTGTAGTCTGGCTAGATATGAAAAGTTACGCGGCAGCCATTTTTCTGCTAAAGTAGTGCTACAGCTGGCTGGATAGTGAGGAATCTGGATGCAGAGCCAGGGGTTGGGAGTTTAATATTCCACTGTGCCTCCTGCAAGCGGTGCCAGCCTGTGTGGCCTTGACTAAGCTGCACAATCTCAGAGCTACCCCCAGAAGAAGGGAATGGTAAATTACTTCTGAGTATTCTCTACCTGGAAAACTCTGAAATGATCTCCATAAAAGTCAGAATTGACTAGGCGACATATCGTCACCACCACCACCACAGCAGGAAAGCAGTTGGCATGGTCCTCCAGAACCTTCCAGCACCAAACTTTGGAGAGTCAGGTTGATTTCCTGGCTGTGGGAATTCCACGCAGCCTGTAAGGCCCTCCAGAGCAGCAGTGGGGCCCTCCCGGTGTGGGAGGAGGCACATATAATTTGCTACAGGTCACACTTAAAGATGAGTATCTGCCTCTGCCAAATAGGAGACCCAGTTTCGTGTGACCTCAGTCAGCATATAGCACATGACACCCATTTGGTAGTCTAAGGGCGTAGGGATTGTATTTTATGGAGTCGGGCTAAACTCACGGATTGGATTTAAGTCTAAATTCTAGCATATAATAATTGATGAAAGTGGTATTAAATTGTTTTTTTAGAATGTTTAATAAAGTAAAAACAATAAAACTAGGCTATATGGAAAATAAATGAGAGATGAACTTTTTCAGGATGTCATCAAAGAACAAGTTAGTAACCTCAGAAGAATAAAACTTTTTGTGAGTTGTTCTTGTGATACAATCATATCAAGTTTATGCTACCCCAGGAGATTAAACATTAAGATATTTTTGAGGGTCTATTCCCCACTTAGAAGATGACCTAAGACATGCCACTATGATTTTCCCAAGTGCAATAAATAAATTCTCTCCAGGTTTTGGAAAAGTTACTTTTTCAGGGAATAATGCTCAGAATCCTACACCTAATTCTATGCAGATATGAACACTGCCAGCTTCACCAAAATAGGAAAAACAACAACATACTCTTGAGCCTGTGGCAATAGGTATACTCGTAAATGTCTACAGCACGGATATAAACACCCCAGCCCATATCACTAGGAACATTCACCTGCAAGGCATTAGAAGGCAGAAGCACAATGAAGATCTACAAAGTTGTTAATATGATATACCTCTGGCCTAAACGTACTTACATTAATAAGGGTGTCTCCATTAATTTCAGTTACAGACTTGATGTCGTTCAAGTTTACTACCATCTTATTATCTCCTTCCATGTTAACAACAGTCTGTGGGAGAAGAAAAGGAATGAATACTTCAAATATCCACAAAGTGGCAAGTGTGCAGTTACAAGGCTAAAGAATACCATTATCCACACCCAATAAATCTGCTTATGCAATATTTGGTTCTGCATTTTGTGCAATATGTCATTGTTAGTACTGTGTATGAGGAGAAAACCAATAAACTTTGGCATTGCCAGTCCTGCCATTAGGTATAGTGAGACAACTGCCTAAGGCAGTAGAAACTAAGGAGGCAGCAGCAGTACTTAACTCTCTCTCTGTAACTTCTTTCCCTTCCTTCTGGGTCCCCAGATAGCCTGGCCCTCAGAGGTAATAAAGGATACTCTCCTATTACCAATGTTGGATAAGATCCAATAGTCTAGCTGGCATCTGACCAGGGTGCAGAGGGGTGGAATTTTTTCTTTCACTTCATGGCAGAAAATAACTCAGCTTACCCCCTGCAGTCCTGTTCACTGAATCTGAACATTGTCAGCAGAAACCATCATGTTTGGAGAAAAATGCCACAGGTTAAATAAAAGCAATATGTTGCCCTACCTTGAACTTCTGTCCTGTTGGGGTATCCAGCTCAGCCTCCTCCCCAATTACAAACTCATTTGTCACGCTTTTGTCACCAGTTGTCAAAGTAACCTTGAACTTCTTCCCAGTTTGCACAATTTCAGTGATGCTTTTGTTGGCCTTGCCTTTTTCAATCTGCTCATCGGAAAGACCTGTGAATCAATAGTAATAAGAGTACTTCCCATTAAAAAAAAACCAAGCAATAAATATATTCAAAGAGGTGGCTTTCAGGACCTGTGATAGATATGAGGTTTGCTTCCATCTGCATGATCAAGGTGAGAGAAGATGATCAAGGTGAGAGAAGGTGAGACTTCCATATTGAGGGCAATGGAGCTTACTGACTCCCATTCAAAGGAGCTGTAAATCCACTTTAGATTTAAGCCTGCACTTTAACAGAGCTGTGCAAGTTTCTGGATGCTACCCCCAAAATGTGGGAACTATTTTGAACTCCTCCTGCAAAGTGCAAGCTAAAACCTGGAAAGCATTTCCAGCACCTCCGAAACTGGAGTCACCAGGCACAATTGGTTACACAGTGAACTTCCTCTGCACAGAACCAACTCTGGTTTTTCAAGCTCAGCAGGATTTTTCATTGGGTTGAGTAAGGAAAAGGCAAGTCAATGCCCTTGCTCTTCCCTCACTCTAGTTGCAACAGAATCCTGGGGAGGCTTGCTTACTCATGAGAAAAAAAAATAGTCTGATGGTGCCTTAAGACAAATGAGTTTTATTTGGCATAGAAGTTTACTGGCCGCAACTCACTTGCTCTGATTGCAGTCCATGAAAGCTTATTGACAAATAAAAATGGTTAGTCTTTAAGAAGTTCTTAAGGCCACAAGACTCTTGCCTTTGCATTAATAGAGTAACACAGTTTCTGAAAAACGCATGTGAAAATTCCTTGGTATATACAGCAATAAGCAACTCACTGAAGACTGGAATATGCCACATAAATAGATCATGCACCACATAATCAACTTTGTGCTTTAGAACATTCAGTTTGGTCCACACACACACCCCTTTTCTGCAACCCTTATAGCACCTGTCACACCCCCATATTGCAGATGTGTGGCTAACTTGGAAACAATTACAGCCTACTTAAGACTACCTGAGAAGTTCATGATGGAGCCCTACCTAGTACTGTATAGCCCTGAAAGCATTTTCACATTAAATCTCCATCAAACTTTTCATAGACTATGTTTCTTTGGCCAGAAACAATAATTAGAGACAGGCTATTATTAGACCTTAAAGCGCTACACAAGGGTGATTCAGGAAGTCATTTCAGGCTTGTGAAATCAAACATAGAAGGAAGCTCATATTCAGGTCCTGAAAATCACTTCAGCAACAAAAGCAAGCTCATTGGCATGTTCTTGGAGATGAGAGAAGTTCATGCTACAACACAGAACATCTTTCACTTCTTAAAGATACAGTAATATGGCCCCCCTTTTTTACAATTACATTTGACTATGGGTAGATCATTTTGGCTTGATAGCTCAGTGGTTTGTGTATTTGGAATTTTATGAGGTTGGGTGTTTAATTCCCTATATGCCTCCTGTGAGTACAGCCAGCCTAATTTTATGAGGTTGGGAGTTTGATTCTCTATATGCCTCCTGTGAGTACAGCCAGCCTGTATGGCTTTGGCCAAGCACCTCTAGAAAAAGAAAATGGTAAACCACTTCTTAATATTCTCTACCTAAAAAACCCCAGAAAGGTTCACCATAGGTCAGAAGTGACTTGGTGGCACATGATTATGATTATGGGTAGATCATCCTCAAGTATCTTTGAAGAAAATGCCCTTAGTTACTTTACTACATCAATCTCACAGAACCATCTTCTCCCTCTCTGTGTGTATGTATACGTACTCAGCTGCAACAGCCACTGAGTTTAAGGGTACTTATTCTCATGTAAGTATGCAGAGGACGGCCCTTTAGGCTTGGCCAACAGAGATGCATTCCTCCTTGGGAATCTGAGAATTAATAATTCTGGAATTTGATGAGAGTTTAATTCCACTTTCGTGGTACATACTAATATATTGCCACAGATTTTAAGGTAACATGTTACTGCTAGGCTCTGTGTAGGAATGGAAAAAGGTATTAATTCATATAGTATAGAACCCTTTGATACTAGGAGGCAAGTAACAACTGACAACATCTGATAAGAATCCAAAACACAAGTATTGATGTCTCAATTAAATACAATGTTCCTTTGCTGCTTGACGCTTAATTTCAGATCCCCCTTTTAAATAGATTAGGAAACGGAGGCATAACGAACTAGGGCCAGGGACCCAAACAAGCATTTAGCACCCACAAACATAAACCTTACCAACAGCTTTCATGAATGGCTCAAAATTCTCCTGGGACTGGCGTTCATATTTTCCAGTGAAGCTCATAATGGTAATACTCTCTTTGCACTCAAGAGAAAGAAGTGCTTCTCCAGGCACCTGAACTTCCTTTTTATAAGGATCAGTTGCCTTGGGAGTTGGTCAGAGGTTATGTGATCTCACTCCTTTATGGCTCCACTAAAAGATTAACTTCCTGACTGATAGACATTATCACTAAACAGCACCCAAGTTAAAGGTACCTTTTCTATTTCTTCAAAGAGGTCATGAACTGTAGACGGACCTCAACATAGGAAGGAATATTGGTAAAAATCAAGGTTAAAGGGAATTAAATAATGTTGAGTTTCAATCTGTGTTTTTGCAAGGGCTGAAAATACTTAACAAAAGCTTCAGGTCTACAGAGGACAGAGCAACTTCTGCAATAACATGACAATCAGGTTTGTTGATCTCATTTTGAAATTGGGCCCCCAAATGTATGAGGCTTATTATGTAGCAGCAGCATTGTGCAATGGATTGAACAAGACCACATTTGGTGTTCCTTTAGAAAAGGGAAGGCAGAAAGGAGATCGACACCACAGATGAAAGTTTCGAGAACAATTTTTGTCAGCCCCAGATCCCCAGCCAGCTTGGTCAAGAGGCAGGGATTATGGGTCCAAAATATCTGGAGGACACCAGGGCATCCTTCATGCAATTTGGCAACACAGGGATCTTTGTCATGAGACAACTGCAGAAAGTGATTCAACCCACATGGAGAAAGTTTCAGGTGGGTAGACTGAAAGAAGCACAGTCTTCTCTAGTTTTAGTGGTCCTAGAACACAGAATTTCAGCAGGTGTCAGCTATCATGCAAGCTACACCTGCTGAAATACCTTCTTCTGCACAAGTACTGTATTAAAGGTGCAGTAGCCATATCTTCTTCACTATCTGGCCATCCTGGAAAAATAATTTTATTTTCAATCTATGAGCCCTGAGGTGCAATGATTAAACTACAGTAGTATAATCAAGCCATTGCTCAGGACTTAAGCTTGATCCCAACAGGTTCTGATAGCCAGCTCAAGATTAGTACAGCCTTCCAAGATCAATAAAATGGGGCACAGCTCACTGGAGGGAGCCATAGTGTTCTTTGCATAATTATGTAGCAAACCACCTAGAGAGTGTTTCTAGCATGATGGGATGGTATATAATTAAAAAATAGTAAGTAAAAATAAATAAATAAATGTATTTATTGAATTCTGCCAAGGGCCTCAAAAGATTTTGGGAAATTTCTTTTTAGACTACTAGAAATGCCCAGCCAGTGTGGTTAGTAGCCAGTGGGATTTTGGATATTGTAGTCAAATAGTAAACATTTCCCACATGTGGGCCCAGTTGTCTCTTCACACAGCTAGCATAAAAGACCAAAATGTGGGCATATTACAATATGAACCTGCAGATCCATTGAACTGGCTGATGGTCTCGTTGAAGGTGTTCACTCCCATTTGATGACATTTCCCAGACTGGATCCTCTGGTGTCCTGGCATTACTACACACCCAGGTCACAGTTCTCTAAAAGCTGGTATGCTAAGGTCATTTACTCGTAGAGGGCTTGAGTTGGATCTCTGCATGTTCCTGGGTGAGGTTACCTATGGACCTGTACATAACTCAGGACACTGTTTTCAGCAGAGCTATGTAACAGAATATAGTAATGTAACATAGCTTTCAGACCACAAGCACGTTTTTGCTTGAGAAAGGGAAGACACTGACAATAATTATCTTCTCTGTTTTGGTCAAGAACAAACATTTCCTGCTTACTGTGGATATACTACATAGGTATATCTGATACATCTTGGGACTCTACATCAAAACAAGCTCAGCAACTTTGACTTTTGTCTTTTCTGATGCATCTTCCATCATTTTTCAGGCTTTGGTAATGTTTTTTGCAGTTGTAGCACTAGATAAAGCACAAACTATATATAGGGGTTGTTTAATTCCCTTTTACACTGCTGTACTTCTTGCAAGTCCTACTTATATTGTCAGAGAGTCACATCCTTAGCACATCTTATTCCTTGCTATGGAAATGCAGCTTGGGTTGCCCTCTCAGCTTCTGCCCTCATGCTCTCTCTTCCTCTTTCTTATCCCATTGCTTGCTAATAAATTAAAAAAGAAAAATATTAGAAGAACTGGCCATGAGAAAACAGAAGTTAGCTTTGACCAATCAGAAGAACAGTGGAAAATCCACACTGAGTTCATTGCTTCTGGGATGTTTTCCATGAGAAGCTACTCCAGCTGCAATTCCAAGCTGCATTTAGAGCTTGGAAAAATGACTTTTTTTGTATGACAATGGCCACAGTTCCCAGCCCAGATGGCTGAGCTTCTGAGAGTGGTCAAAAGAAGAAAATATTTGTTCTGCGTACAACGGGCACTAAATTTACTGTACTTCTTTTCTTTCTTCTTTCAGCATAAGTATCAGTTTTCATTAACAGGAACTCTTACACAATTCTAGAAATGTGGGAGGAACAGAATCAGTGCCTGCATTTCCTGTGAATGCGATGCAATCTTGTGTATGTTTGCTCAGAACTAAGTCTCACAAAGTTCAACAGGATATACAGGTCCAGCTCTGGGTTTAAGGCAGGCCTAGGAAATACACCACCGAAGTCTCTGCAGGACCATGAGTGGGGCATCCCTTAAAACGAGCTTGACAGGGTGTGGCAGGGACAAGAGATTGTGGCAGGGAGAGGCAGCAGTGGAGAAAAGCATGGACAAGGAGTGCCTTCGACAGGGGCAGAGTGAAACTCCGCCTGCCTAACATTTCCTCCCAGCAATAAAACTGAGGAGAATGGCCAGGCCGATAGGCAGCAGGTAGAGTTGTCAGTTTTAAAGCAGGAAGCTCTGCTTTGGTTTGCTGCGTCTTCAAGCAGAGAAACAAACTTCAGAGCTTATGATGCTGGTGGAAAAGAAAGTCTGGTTTCTGTTTGTGAGGCCTTGACTACACAATCAAGTACTGCAGGATTTGCTACGGTTATAGTATGGCTCTATTTGAAGTATTTTTTCCTCATCACATGATGGCTAATTCGAATGAGTCCAGCCGTTTTTCTCCTGCTCACAGCTTTTTCTTTCTACCTCTGGGGGGCTTCTACTTTTTCCCCCAAACCAGAACAAGTTAAACAGATGTTTCCCCTTGTGATCAGCTGGCTTGTTCTGTAAGGTGTGTGTCTGCTGTGGGTGGTGTTGGGGTGTGATATTCAAGACTCAGGGAATCCCTGTTCCCATATTCTTTTCCCCCAATCGGCCTCTGAATTTTAAAATTTTATTTATATATATGGCATTAGTGCTAGATCACCTTATCACTAATATTGATATACTAGTTTAGGGCTAGATCACCTCCAGATGAGGATTTTTTTAAAAAAAAATTATGAACAATACAGAAACAACTCAGATGAAATAAAAGGTGTTCTTGTGGTATGTGGCATTTCTTTACACATTAAGAACTTAAAGGAATGCTGCCACCTTTTTCTAGAACACTATGAACCCTTTTGAAACCAAGTGGCTTAATAGGAAACCATAAAAGGATCAGCAGAGTGGGGCCAGAGAAAAGAAGAAAAGAAGGGATAGTGGGAAATTGAAATTAGCTGGGAAGTTAAAGCAGGAAGCTCTGCTTTGGTCTGAACCCAGAGATTACATGTGCTAGAAATGAACCAAAATGGTTCAGTGGCCCCTGACATTGACCCAGAGAGATGCAGGTAGAAATGCTCTGGGACAGGCTAGTTTGTTCTAGCAATTGCACCATCTTATCACTGACAAAAGACAAAAGCCCATCCCAGCTGCAGAAAAAACAGCAATACTAATGCCCTCTAAAGTAGAAAGGAGGCACAAGGAATCTATTTGAGCCTCCAATAACATTGGGCAGATCTGTTCAACTAATCTGGATCAAGGCGTGATGCTGCAACATAAAGTCAGACCTGATCACCAGACAATGTCACTGCATTAAGTTTCTATGAAACTCATGGCTGCAGAAGCCTGTTCAGCAGTCCCTACCACTGGGTCTGCATACATATAACAAGCTGAAACAAGTGGAGTCCTGCCAAGCAGTGCTTTGTTGGAAAGAGTGAAATAGACAGAGGTGAGTAAAGCTAGCCTGTCCTCCTCTGTTTCTTGAAAAGAGCTTTCACGGGATTCCAATTTGTTTGCCAGATTTGCATATACTGTGCCAGCTGCTGGGAAAGGGTGTGAAATGGAACAACCATTTGTGTAAGTGACTCTTGCATTTAGTGTAAAAGACATACACTTGTGTTAAAGGCTTGTCTAATTGTAAAGGTTTGCTTCCATGTTGGTATCATCCCAATCTGGATGGATCCCAGTCTGGATGGACATTTTTCAGAGTCTGCACATACAGGTGCCAGACTTCAGATAGTAACAGATCAAATGATTTTCTGTGCATATGTGAATCAGCCAGAGAATATAAGATTTGGTTTTGAGACTAAAGTTCCTATTATCCCCCAGTAACATGAGGTGGGAGATTCTTAGTCCAACAGAGTAATTCTTGCAAGCTCCGGAACTGGCCCACTATTTTCTTAAGAGAACTTTGTTGTTCACATTTGAGACCAAAATAATTTGCCTCAAGCATACCTAGCAGATATTTGAAGTAAACAACAAAACCGGTTTTATACATTACTTCTGTTTTAACTTTCAGTTATTGCTTCACAGTCCAGACTGGTTTGACCAAGCAGGTGGTGGAGTCATGTTGAATCTCTTCAGGCAATTTTCCACCTTCTTGAGTCTGTCCATTTGTCAAGCTTCTGATTATTTCATTCCAGATTGTGCAGTTCACCTGTGCTGATTAAGGATGACACAAGCATTGGAATAGAAAAACTTGCAAAGACTGGGGCATATATGTAAATGAGGATAACAGTTATGTATGATGTATAACTGTGGATGCATGGTCAGTAACCATAAACAGAGTATTGATTTGTGGTAGAATTCTCCTTTGATACAAAACAGAGGTGCAGAGATCCATAGAAGAGAATGGCATCACATTCCCCAGACTCCACCACTTTCTCATTAACTGGCACTTAAAGTCTCAATAACTCGCTCTCAGAACAATGAAGGCAAGTAGGACTTATGCCTGTTTTTCCAGCCCATGCACTCACTCTTTCCATAGAGGGTGATTATACTTTCTCCTTTTCCTGTCTGCCTCGAGTTTAACCAAAGAATTTGGTTAAATTCATCCAAATTCATCATTTTTCTGTATTAAGCTTTATTTTCATATTATTTTTGTCAATTGGCATTAAATTCTACTTTTAAAAATTATTATTTTAAGCTCTGGGCCACTGCCAGATGGCTTACTCTCCTATGACTCCCTCAAGACTATAAGGCCTCAGATACATGTGTCCTTTTAACATTCCATGTGTGGACAATGTCATGTAGTGAAAAAACACAGAACTGTACATAAACAATAATCGTAGAATGAAGATAATCTTTGTTTCTCCTTTAAGCAGTATTTCGAAAGCTGCTGAAGCACTTGTGAGATGCATATGCATTATCTCACATTGAAGTGGACTTCATATAGAGCCCACAGTGATCCTAAGACAAGCTAAACATTTCTGACTTTAACTGCTTGCATGTATTAAGTAGATGTGGTTTTACCTCTGTTTCAAGTTATCTTTGATAGATGATTTGGGGCAGCAGATAAGCTGCTCTGCAGAAAGTAACCCTCTAGAGATGTCTTCTTGTTTCCACGGAAGCTCAACTTTTGTCTTTACAAATTAATATGAGGGGAAAAAAGGCCTTAATTCCCCACTTCAGTGCTTTCTTATCCAAAGCAAGCCCATTCCCAGCAGTGCTGCCCTGTAACTTCTCAGAGACCCAACCACACTGCCCAGTCAGTACAAATGACCTTTGGGCTTTTCCTGGCTCCTGCCCTTTGGTCTCAAAACAAACAGCACTGCTGAGGTGTCATCTTTACAGCCTCTTGTGAAAAGTGCTGCATGCCTGTTAAGACATTAGCACCAAATATGTTGACTATACAGTATCTTCTCAGATTCTCTGTGACTTTTACCCATAGTCACCCTTGACTTCATTAACTCACAAAATGATTGTGACATAAGGATGATAAGATTTTGAAGCTTCAAACAGAAAAAGGCCTTGGATAGAAAGTAGCCATTTCCTCATAGGAGCAATTTAATGTACTTTAATTATTGGTTGTAACCATTTATTGGATGATATATCCAACACTTTATTGGATGATATATCCAGCTCAGGGGGCTTGGGTTCAAATCCCCACTCAGCCATGGAAACTCAATGGGGGTGCAGAACTCGTAAAATCATTCCTAAAAAAAATCTCACTTCCTTTGAAAACCTTACTAGGGTTGCTATAAGCCAGTTCTGCCTTGACAGCACATAGCAACAATAACAATAAAGCTTTCAAGGTGAGATATTTTAAAGTGTTTTTACCACTTCCACATTCCTAGTGAGTTTCCATGGCTGAGTAGGGATTTGAACTAGGCCTCCTGAAGCCTAGTTCAGCACTTTATTCACTACATCATACTGGATATCCACCCATACTCTCTGGGTATCCACACAGCAGTCTTAAGTACAAACAATGGTTTATTCAAACAATGGCAGATATTCTATAGTATTCAGATATGTGTGTGTGTGTGTGTTCTGGCCTACCTATGCATTTTATTATGTGCCCTAGGTTTTTTTTTCTTACCCTTTGTTCAGAGATTTGGTAACAACAGATCAGGCCTGCCTTTTGTTCTGAACTAGACAATAATGTTCCCTCAGGCTCTGACATCTTAGATTGTACATAAATGCTTTATGGCTTCCCTAGCAAAGGAATCTTGCATTTTCCCATCTTTGTATCAGCCATATGAGCCTGCAATCCCACATCTCTTACATTTCATTGGTTGCCCCTGGCAGATCTCCTCACTCTGATCTGACTCTCTATATCTAATCTGACTGTACATTGTAAAGGTTTAGTCTTTTCATTTTCAAACCTCATCATACCATTCCTTTTTCCCAGTGTCATTTACTATCTTCTGTTCTTGTCTTTCTCTTAGGTATTGGCCTTGCCACAGTTAATTGCAACTAATTGACAAGGTACTAGGGCACATCTCAGCTGTGTGCCTGCTTATGCATAGCCAAATGTGTCCTGACAGCTTATCAGTTAACTGCAGCAAGTTATGCAAATTTTACACAACTAGTAGGGCGTTGCTGTTTCTGCATTTTTATGTTGTAAAAATTAGGGGAATTACTATATATTTTAAAACATAAAAGAAAAGAACTTTGGCAAAAAATTTGGCGTGCTTTATTTTTAAAAGTGAGGAAATTCAGACCATAAATCAATTGTTTCCTCATTCAAAATATGGGCATATTGATACATTCTTCCTGCATTTTAACTTCCAATCCAGGTAAACACCAAAACAATCTGACTAACTATCTGACTTCCTATGTAACACATTGCTTGCATTTTCATAAACCCCACATCAATATTCGGACACTTCATCTAGTACAACACAGAATGCCACATTGGCTGTTTTAGCCTCACATTCCTCAATGTGCCAATGCGTATCCATTTTCTTCCAAGACTACATGTTTCTTTCATAGTTCTACTTTGAATAGCCATAGACCCAAATGTCTTTGGCCCTTAAAAAAAAATCATGGTTTCCTACATCTTTCAAAATATGGCAATGTCCAATGCTTTTATAGGGTCAGAAAAAGTGGACTTGTCCACAAAAAGTCTGATGAAATATAGCAGTTAGTCTTTAAGGGGCTACAACATTTTGCTCTTCTTTATTTTTCTTTTATTTCTGCCTGATTTTGTTTGTTTGCTTGTTTACTTATTTAAAACATTTTTATCCCACCTTTCTAGACTACATGTTTCTTTCATAGTTCTACTTTGAATAGCCATAGACCCAAATGTCTTTGGCCCTTAAAAAAAAATCATGGTTTCCTACATCTTTCAAAATATGGCAATGTCCAATGCTTTTATAGGGTCAGAAAAAGTGGACTTGTCCACAAAAAGTCTGATGAAATATAGCAGTTAGTCTTTAAGGGGCTACAACATTTTGCTCTTCTTTTTTTGTTTCTGCCTGATTTTGTTTGTTTGTTTACGTATTAAAACATTTTATCCCATCTTTCTCCTTAAAAAGAACTCAAGGTGGCTTCCATCACTGATATGCAATACTTTTCTTTCCTTTTGCTCTCAGATATAATCTCCAGTTTAAAAAAAATAAAGAAGAAATGGCTGCAGATACCCTTAGAAGATTAAAAAAGAGGAATGCCACCCTAACCTTTCCTGTGGTGAAGGTTAGGGTGGCATTCTAACAAGGCAATTCAGCACCTAGTTTGAGGAGCCATTCTGGCAAAATCAAATCTGTGTGGACTGTTCACTGAAGCTCATCCGTTTGTCAAGAACTGGAACTTCTCCTGCCTTGCGACATATATGCAAGCAATGTAAAGCAAAAAGACGCTGGAAGACAACACAAGACTCAAAACACTTTCAAGCGGGCAGAAACAGAAAGGTGTGGTGGCTTGGGCACTCTGGGAATTGTAGTCCAGGAAAGTAACTTCCCCAGCTTTGATTTTGACTGCTTGAGCACAGTCGTCTCTGGGTGTATTCAACAGGGTCCGAAATCCGTTATGTTTTAACCTTACACCTATTTTAATTGGAATTTTATTTGGGCACCATTTTTAGAAACAAATGTGGGACGGGAATTTAATAAGCACAACCGGTTTATAAATGTAAAAATAAACCGATCTTCTCTAGTTGGATAGACAATTAAATCTGCAGGATGGCTCTGACGAAGAGGGCGCTGGGCTACCCTACCAACGCCAGGCAGAAGGGGGCAGAGGACCATAGAGATGGAAAAAAAAGAGTGGAGTCTCCACAACCTTCTGTCCGCTCGGAATACAGTGGCGTTCCAAGTGGGAACCTGGAAGGCGGGCGCCTGAGACACTCTACCTTTTCCACCTCTATGATTTATTTCGCCGGCATCCTCTGATAGTTCGCCATCTGTTGGCTCTCCCTGTTGTTGTTGTCCGTCCAGTCTTGCAGGCGCCTCTTGGCGACGAAGCTGCCAAGGCAAAACTCCAGCGACGGAGGACCCGGCGGGAGGACTCGTCCTTGCTGCAGCTGGTAATGGCAGCTCCGGGTGGGGAGCGGGGTCGCTCCGGGGTGGTGTCTGTGCGCGCGTGTTAACCCGAGCTTGGAAACATTACTTTTGGAAAATACAGTTCGCATTAATTATCCTCCAGTCAAGAGAGACACCTGCCTTGGTGGGAGTTGTAATCCCCAAAGGAACTTTTTTTCCCATGCTCTGGTATTGTTACTTTGCTTCTTCGTATCAGAGAGCTCGCCTTTGAGTCCTGGAAGGAACCAAGAAAGAATAAACCTGGAATGACCCAAGTTAGGACCGAGGGTTCCTGAGAAAGTGAAGAGTGTACAGTGTTTTGTTTTCCCAGATCAGGAATTGTGGGAAGTGATTTCAGAAAACAAGATGTAAACTCGAATATTTTATAGGATCTGGTAACTGCCAGTTCAAACCCAAACACACAAGGTTGCATTATAAGCCTTGCAAATAATGACTTATGTCTCAAATTGCATTTTAAAGAAAGATCCAGAGAGGGTAGTGTCATGTTAAATTCTAGAAAAATTAGACTAAGGCAACAAGGGATCACCAGAACATTCTCATTTTTTCTTTTCTGACTCCATCCCAATTTCCTTTTGTCTCATTTCTCCGACTGCAAGATCACCTCAGAGCATTTTAAACAACTGCAGATTACTTTAAATAACTAAACATTACCCATGAAGAAAGGGTTATTATCAAATCAGGCCATAGTACGTATTTTCATTCAATAATTCCTGGTGCCATTTCACTGGAGCAAGTTTGATAGTTAGAGCGATAACTGCTGAACATTGGACTTTGTTCTTTAAGAACCTTTGCAGTCCGCAACTCAAATGGAGATATTTCTACTATGCTGAATCCTGCAAGAGTTTTGACATTGTAAGCTGAAGAAATGGCTGAAAGCCTTTAAGATGGAAATGAAAACTATACTGTCTGGATTATCAGTACTGGGAATTTTCATTTAGCACTGTGAAAATCGTCAAACTCAAATTGATTGACACCCCTCTCCTGTAATTTACTGGGTGTTGCTAGATTTTATAGATTCATCATTAACACTGACTGTGGATCGTCAACTAAGGTTGCTTTCTTGTTGCTACAGATGCTTGTTGCTCAGAGGGCAAAGGTAGAAAAGGCACTCTTAGTAGTGGTCATCTCAAGTTCTCAGGCCCGAAGAAAATCTCTTGTTTTTATTCTGTGTGTTGCAGTGACTCGGAAGAAAGAAGCATGAGGTATATCAGCACCCAAGGTGCCCCTGAAAGCACTGATTTTGAAGGTGCTCTCCTGTCTGGGTATGCGTCGGATGGTGGCCTTTTCATGCCTGAGACCATTCCCATTTTGGATTTTGCCACACTGCGAACCTGGAGCACCTTCTCCTATCCAGAACTGGTGAAGCAACTGTGCGGTATCTTCATCTCCCCCGAACTCATCCCCAAAACAGAATTGAGTGGTAAATTAAATCCAAGACTTGGTAAAGATGAGAGCGCCTTAAAAATGGTTGTGGTACTTCAGATTTGATATTTTGGTTTTAGGTTTCTCTGATCAGTTTAATAGAAGGGTGGAGAACTCCAGATGTTTTAGGGAGCTACAGTCCCTTTCCACCCTTGCTGTAATATTTCTAATGTTTATTTTCTAATGACTTACAGACATAGTTGTCAATATGCTGAAAACTGCTATTGATGTCATGATGTTAACACAGTGTGCAAGAGGAAATAATGGAAGGCTGAAACAAAACACAGCACACAGGTCCTTCTCTCTTCCTGCTGGAATTTATAATCTGAAATCTCAGCGTTAGGAGGCAAACTCTAAATGATCAGATTCCACATGATATTGTGATGTTGCTGCTGCTGCTGCTTCTTAAACTGGAAATAGCAGCCATGGAGAAATTGGAATTGGGATCAAGGTCACAGCATGTGAAAATGGATTTAAAGATGTTCATTTACTCCATGTTGTATTTCTAGTGACAGTTGTCATTCCACCCATCTCACCCCTGTACTCCGGCTGCTCATGTCCCTGAAAGAAGCTCCATTAAATATGGAGAGGGACCATATTTTACCATAACTGCAGGAGACAGTTATACCCTCATTCCCTATCTGTTGCACATACACTCCATTCTGCCTATAGGAGACAAAATTGCCTTTTTCTACTTATAGGTAGGGGAGGCTCTCAACTTAAAGTGATTTGTTTATGGTCATTTTGGCCTTTACATTATTACAGAAATACCAACAAAGATTGAACAAGGTGAGATGTTAAGCATCTGAATTCATGATTGGCCCCTGCAATTTGTTTTCTGTTTACTACCTAACAACCCCTGGGAGGGGAGATATGGATTGGGAGTATGGTGGGGGGAGAAAGGGTTGAACTGTTTGGTTGTGATCTATTTGAGCTACCCATTTGCTCCTGATAGTCTCACCTGCAGGAAACATTATATTAGCATTGATTTCTAAATGTCTTCAGAAATCTAACTCTAGTACACTGTGGTTTTGATGTAGCTGTTTTACTAATGATCTTTCTCTAGACCTGATCGATCAAGCATTCAGCAGGTTCAAGCACAAAGACGTTGTTCATATGTCAAGACTAAAGAATGGTCTGAACATTTTGGAGCTTTGGCACGGTCCAACATATGCTTTTAAGGATCTCTCCTTGTCCTGTACTGGGCAGTTCCTGCAGTACTTTTTGAAGAAGAGAAAGAAACGTGTCACAGTCCTCGTGGGTAGGTTTGCAGTTAGAACCAACCAATCTGTTTGTGTGGATTTCCACTCATATTCAGTCATGCCTGTGCCTTTGCTCAAGGTCCATTTGCCATTTGTGTTCTCTGGACAGGAAGATGTACATTGTACTTAGATATCTGGGCTGGTCAGTTCTCGTAACTTCTGCATGCCATGCTATCTTGACAGGATAGAAAAGGAGTAAAGTATCATGCATCTGTTTTGCTAACTTGATCCCCATCTTTTATTCACACACCTTGGACTTTTTTGTAGAACTAAGCTTGCAACCCTACCCTGTCAGATTTGTAGGAAGAGCAATGTATATGAAGGAAGCAGCTAAGCTGGAGACCTTAGCCAACCCCTGGGCTTCCCTTGCAGTCTTCCACCTGAGGTGTGTCACACTGCCAGTGCCAGGATGAGAGGAGGAGATGAGCAGCAAGAAGAAAGACCACACAGTGACACAACGGAAATGAAAGAAAGAGTGGGAGGGAAAGAGGGCTAAACTAATGGACAGGTTTTCTTTTAAAAGGTTGATCCCATGTTGCAGATGTGAAAACTGAGTTATGAGCATGCAAAGGCCACTGAGCCACTGGCAACCTTTAATGCTGACGATTCAGACATTAATTCACTGTCTTTAATGTTAACATTGCATTTTCTCCAATTCTTTTGCAACAGGGACTTCAGGAGATACAGGCAGCGCAGCCATTGAGAGTGTCCGGGGGAAAAAGAATGTGGACATCTGCGTTCTGCTGCCACAGGGTCTCTGTACCCAAGTGCAGGAGCTACAGATGACGACTGTGATGGACGAGAATGTTCATGTGTTTCTCAGTAAGTAACATAGTGTGTGTGTGTGTGTGTTGTGTTGTGTTGTGTTATACCTCTTAGAAATCCCTCAGGGTACCTGGGAAATTCTGGAAGCTGTAGCCCAAAGAGCACACATCTAGTAAATAATTTGATGGAAACTCTGGGAAGATTTCCCCCCACTGAAAAACAGCCTATACTGTATATGTATTTAAACCTAATAGATGCTTCTGAATTTGTATAAGTGTGGCTTTGCTGAAAAGTTTGAACTTGTGATTGCATGCCACTGAATCCTTACAGTCTGCTTTAAAGCCACTCATTTTGTCTTTCATAAGTCGTACAAAATAGAGATATCGTTTTAATTGATTCGCAGAGTATACTATGTTACAGCCAAGAAAAGAAACAGTTATTTAGTCTAGTTTGGTTTGGTTTTGAATTTTAATTTTTGTTCATGTTATATTACCAAGATACTCTGGGGTAATGAACTAAAATTATATTCATCATGGAGAGAAGGGACATTGGAGAGGATCAAAGAATCTTAAATTGTGTCCCTCATTTGGGGGAATATCAGAAAATGACCTTGTTAGACATAGCAAGTGAGGTTTTTGCAACGTAGTTTCTTTGTTGACTCTACAAATTGCATCCCTTTGCTTCTCACATGGAGGTATACCTTTCAGACGTCTGAGTATTTGAGGTCTATTTGGAACAGAATGCCATTTTCAATCAGTAGCTTATTGGTTTCTCTTTCTGGGTGGTGGGGCTGAAGCCCGGGGGGTGCTGGTGGTGACAGGGAAGAGCCAGGAGCGAAAGGAGTGATTCATTCACACATGGACACAGGCAAGCATGCACGGAAGCAAACATCCACACATACTGTACATACATACATACATACATACATACATACATACAGACAGACAGACAGACAGACAGACAGACAGACAGACAGACAGACAGACAGACAGACACAAAGGCAGGCAGGCATTTCCTCACCCCCCCCCACTCCATCATTCACTCCACCGGTCATCTGAAGAGCAGAAAATGCACCTTATTCCCAAATTAAGAATATGCTCACAAAGTAGAAATACTACTCTGTGCTTCTCTTGTCTTCTGTCTTGAGTTTCATTCTCCCATTTTCTTTGCCTCTCTCTTCTTCTTCTCTAAGGAGAGTTGGGGGAAACACAGACGAAGACCTGACCCTCCTCTCCTGGTGAGGAGGCAGGCAGGAAAGGGTTGGCCTGAGATGAATCTGTACACCATTGATCTGGCTGTGTTGTGCTTGTGGCTGAATTGCTGTGATGGTCTGGAACAGCCATTCTCAATGGGGGCTGTCCCTGGCACACCTGAAGGGGGCCATAGACTAAAACATGAGATACGTTTCTGAAAGATACCTGTATGTGGCTCAAAATTTCATCTGCCCCAGAGACGAGAATAGGAAGGGGAAGCAATTTTTCGGGTTTGTGATGCCATAAAGCAAGGGAACTCTAGGTTTGTTGGAGGTTTTTTGGATAGAACCCTGTTGGTGTTTGCATCGGATTTGAATAACCCAGTGTGATTAATTACAGTTAATTGGTAAGGTGTTGGAGTACATCTTGATTTGGCAATCAGGTAGAAAATCTGGCATGCAACCAAGTCATGTCCCAGCACTTTGTCAGGTAGGTGTGGCAAGTTTTGCAAATCTTATGCAAACACTGGTAGGATTCTGGCCACGGTCGAAAGCTGACAATATTCTTAATTATTTTCTTCCACAGATGTGAACAAATTAAATCAAAGAATGACTGCCAAAGGCTCCCCTCAGCTGGGGAATGTTATTTTATATTGAGAATAAACAGGTGATCCATTTGAGAAGGAAGCAGAAAGTCATCATTTAATGTTGGCAGATCCTTTTGTTTGTATTTCTTATCTTTTCATTTCTTATCTTTTCAACCACCTACAGTGGTCGCAATGATCAGATTGAATGAATGAATGAATGAATGAATGAATGAATGAATGAATGAATGAATGAATTTTCATAACCCTCTTTGTCTCTAAGCTGATGAAGGAGTAACGGTAAGTTACGTTTCTGTTCCCTGATGAACATACCATGTCTGCTCATTCCTTTCCTTCCTTTCTTCCTAGCTGAAGGGAACTCTGATGAAATCGATGAAGTCCTCAAAGAAGTGTTTGCAGATGAGGATTTTTCAAGAAGACACAATCTGATGACCCTGAGTTCAATCAACTGGTCCAGGATTCTAGTGCAGATGGCACATTATTTCTATGCCTATTTCCAGTGCACTTCAACCACAGATGCTCTTCCATGGCCTGTTGTGGAAATTGTGGTTCCAACGGGGGCAGGAGGAAATCTCACAGGTGAGATGAGACCAAGAGGAGGGCCTCCTCTGATGATCTAAAGCACTGAAACAGAGATTCCTTGGGTAAAGAATCAGTGGTCCCCAAAGATCACCAGTTCCCAACATTGGGGAACCCAGATGGCATTGGATTGCATTTCCCAGAAGCCTTCACCACCAGCTGTGCTGACTGGGATTTCTGGGAATTGCACTCCAAGAACACCTGGATTGCCCAAGGTTGGGAACGTTTGCTTTAGATCCTGCTGGACTTCAGTTCAGACCCAGCCAGTGATGAGGGATAATGGGAGCTGCAGAGCAGCAGCATCTTGCAGGCCACACAGTCCCCAGTTCCAGGATTGGATGAATTGGATGACATGACATGCATAATGTGACTTACCCGATTAAGGCCCTTATGGTGCCATCTGAAAGATGCCTCACTGGGGATGGGGGGTTGTAATATGCGTGATGCTTCCAAACTAATTTTTTATTTTCCTACTTCAGTGGCAACCAGGGTCTCCTGAACAATCTGGCCAGATTTCTGATACTTTCTGAAAGTGTCCAGCACTTTATCGTGGTTCCTGAGCCTCAGTCAGGGATGGGCTGGAGCTAGAGACAAGGCAGTTCTTATGACAAGAAACATTAAATTATGGAAACTTGGCAGAGTGCATCATTTGCTTGCTTTTGCAGTTGTCCTTTCTGGCACAGCTTGTTCTGCCTTTGCTCGTAAGGCAAGAACCACATAGAATACTGAAGGATGTTTCTGAGCCATTCTTAATTGAGTCTTTGATTTCACTAAATCGGATCCATATACTTTTATGCCTATATGTGCCATCAGAAAGGCTAAGAATTATTTATTTATTTATTTGTCTTATTTATAGGCTGCCTTTCTTCTGATAAGGAGAGTCAAGGTGGCTCACAGTGTTAAAAAGAACAGAATTAAAAACACAATAAGACATACATTCAAAAACAATTAAACTATAAAACTGATTAAAATACGTCGAATAATTAAAAACAGGTAAAATGTTAAAAAAAATCTTAATTAAAAAAAAGTATTACAGGGATTTAGTCGTGGTTGTTCAAAGCCTTACTGAAGAAGGGTGGAAGGATAAAAGGGAGGAGGCCAACGTGACCTGCCGAGGGAGAGCATTCTATGTCTTGGGAGCTGCCACAGAGAAGGCCCTGTCTTGTGTCTCCATGGTGCTGGCCATGAGACCAAGAGGAGGGCCTCCTCTGATGATCTTAAGCACTGAAAAGGCTCATAAAAATGTTTATGTATTTTATCTGTATGTTTCTCAGAAGTGAATGCAGACATTTTTAAACCGTTTTGTAACTTTTCTGTGCAGTGAACGCAGAGTCTTAACCAGCCTCCCTTCATCTGAGACAGCACCTGTGGGAATCAATCAATCAATCAGTCAATCAATCAATCAATCAATCAATCAATCAATCAATCAATCACCTCGTCCTGCTTTCTGGTTTTGCCCTGTGGTGGAAAGAGGGAGACTGGCTCCAATACAGTACACAGCTCAAGTCTGTTCAGAGCTTGTGAAACCTTTAATAATGCAAGATGACTTGTCCCCTGAAATTCTGGAAGTAACTGCCTTCAATTCTATTGGAAAAGTTACTTTTTAGAGTACAGTTCCCCCTGACAAAATGGCCAGGTCATTCAGGAAATGGTACTCCTCCAAAAGTGACTTTTCCAACCTTTGTGCTGCTTCATAGTGTACTGCAGCCAAAAGTTCATTGATTCATCTGTTCTCTCTGCGTGTAAACACATTTGGATTCCAGCAAGTTAATTCCTGTTTTCATCGTCGTCTTCTTCTTCTAGCTGGTTGTATTGCACAGAAGATGGGGCTTCCCATTGAGCTTGTGACTGCAGTCAATGACAATGACATTATACACAGAGCTATTCAGCAAGGCGATTTCTCAGTATCTGGGGCTGTGATGTCAACACTAGCTTCTGCAATGGATATCCAAGTAGGCATTTGTCTGTCTGGAGGTGCACCTTGATTTCCTTTTCATATGGTAGATGTTTGGGAGCCAGTTCAGCACATCTCCTCTAAATCCCAGTTTTGATCTTTGCTCCTTTAGTGTGCTATTTCTTTAGCTCTGCAGAAGTGGCCAACTTTGTCTGGTGCCTTTTCTTCCTCTACTGCAGGACTGGGAAAGATGTGATCCTCCTAGAGCAGTGATTTCCAGTCTTATGTCCCCAGGTGTTCTTGGACTACAACTCCCAGAAATCCTGGCCACCATAGCTAGTGGTGAAGGCTTCTGGGAGGTTTAGTTCAAGAGTGCGTCAGGACCCAAGCTTTGGGCTGGACTCAGTGATCTGTAGAGTCCCTTCCAGTTCTGCAGTTCTAAGATGATGATGATGATGAACCACTGTCCTACAGATTTGAAGGGTTACTTTTTTGGGCTTAGAGAGTCCAGAATCCCTTAGCCAGCATGGCTGGAGGAAATCAATTGGACTTTATAATCCAACAACATTGAAGGCTGGGAAATTTTGGGAGCTGCAGTCCAAACCTCCCCCCCCAACCCCCCCCCAAAAAACCACCTACTGTATAATGTATTCTCGAAGGCTTTCACGGCTGGGATCTGATGGTTGTTGTGGGTTTTTCGGGCTCTTTGGCCGTGTTCTGAAGGTTGTTCTTCCTAACGTTTCGCTAGTCTCTGTGGCCGGCATCTTCAGAGGAACAGGAGTAGGAACTCTGTCCATGCTCTGTTGCTGTTTGTTGGGCAGAGACTGGTGAAACATTAGGAAGAACAACCTTCAGAACACGGCCAAAGAACCTGAAAAACCCACAACAACTACTGTATAACTTGAAAAATTGGTCCTTGCATTTGCTCATTTCCCTCTTCCCTTTTGAGACTTTTAGATTTTAAGCACAGAAGCAAGGGCTATTATATTTTTATTGATTTGCATAACTCATTCTGGGAGACTCTTTGGATAAAGAGTGAGAGAAAAATGCTTTAAATAAATGAATGTTAATTTTGTACTGCTGGCCTGTTAAAGGAAGCATCCCCTATCCTCACTGCTATTGAATGAGGACAGTGCTTTTTCAACTGTATGTTAGAGGTGGTAGATGGCATCACAATGACTTCAGAGGACCATGAGTACTTGCTACAAAATATTATTTTGATGACTCTGATGAGGCTTTGGATCATCTACTTCCAATCTGGGACTTATTTTTCATACTATTTAGTTTAGAACATGCATGGGGAATATTTGGCCCTCCAGGTGTTTTGAATTGCAACTCTCATCATTCCTCATTACCAACTATATTGGTTAGGACTGATGGGTGTTGTAGTCCAACAACATCTGCAAGGCCACACATTCCCCACCATGATTTAAAGCAATACCACCACATCCTATTAAGATTTCTGCAGTGTGTCTTCTTTCACTGCTCTGAACATGAGAATTGCTTTTCTTCCTATCTCTAGTACAGATGGCAGGCCACTTTCTGAGTATAAGCTTCCCAGCGCTTAGGAGTGTGGTATATCTTCCTGTCTTCCAGGCACCTTACAATATGGAGAGGATCTTTTGGCTGTTTTCTGGTTCAGACAGCAGTTTGGTCAAAAGTTTGATGGAAGAATTTTATACTACTAAAAAAGTTAAACTCCCATCAGAACTGCAGAAGAAGGTTAGTTTTGACACTTGTGTTTACTCTTTGTGAGGTTTTCCCAGTGCATTTTAAAGGCCTTATTGTTTAATTATGATTTTATATGTTTATTTGAAACTGCCTCTGGTTTTCAAAATTATAATTTTTAAACTGTTATTGCAGGTTGTTTTTTATTATATCTTTATGTGGTTTTATACTTAATTCGTATTTTATATTTCATGTGATGTGAACCACCCTGAGAGAACTGTATGGCCCTTTAAAGTGGCACATACGTATGTGAAAAATAATAATTCACAAATAAGGACTTTCAACCTTGCTTTGCATTGCAATCTTTCTTCCCCCCCCTCTCAGAATGTAGATGCTTTGACAAGGGAGTATTCATAGACTTGCAGGCAAGCTGGGCAATATGCTTAGCACCTCTTTAAAGCCAGTTTTGCTTTTAAGTGGTGAAATATGACTGTTTTTCATAGCATGCACTTTTCCTCATCTCCTGTGATTGCAGCTTTCTGAATGCCTGCGATCTTGCAGAGTATCAGATGAAGAAATTCTCCAAACCATGCGGTGCTGCTGGGATGATAACCACTATCTCTTGTGTCCCCACACGGCTGTTGCTGTTTGCTATCATTACAAGTACCCCTCTTGCCACCCGAGAAAGTAAGAAACTCTAAAACCGTGTATCAAGCAAGCTTCTCATTTGCTATCAATGGATTCTGAGCAAGAGAACAAAATGACTCCTGACATTTGTGGCTTGGGGAGTGGAGTTCTTTCACACGTAATAGTGCAGGTGATCAGCACAAGATGACCCAAATCATAGACAAGATGGCCTACCGAGAACTGTCTTTGAGGGCTTCTTTCTCACCGTGACTTTAGACTATCAAGGGGAAGAAGTTTGAAGAGTACCTTGATGCCATGTGGAAGTCCTTCCTGTTAGTCTCTTGCCCATTTTCTCAAGCAATCTTTCATATTTTAGACAGTCTTCATCAGAAACACAATACAGTCGTGCCCCGCTTAACGATTACCCCATATAACGATGAATCCGCTTCACGACGATGTTTTTGCGATCGCAATTGTGATCGCAAAACAATGCTTTAAATGTTTTTTTTTCGCTTTGTGAAGATCAGTTCCCTGCTTTGGGAACAGATTCCTCGCATTACGATGATCAAAACAGCTGATTGTCGGGTTTTCAAAATGGCCGCCGGCTGCTCAGAATGGCTCCCCGCTGTGTTTTTGGACGGATTCCTTGCTCTACAGGCACCCCTATGGAGGATATTTGGTGGACAGTGAGTTTTTCAGCCCATTGGAACGCATTGAACACATTTTAATTTAGCTTTACGTTTTCGCTCTACAGCGATTTCACTGGAACAAATTAACGTCATTAAGCGAGGCAGCACTGTATAGCAAATCCATAAGATACATGTAAGTAAAGATGTAGGAGAGGTTCCCCCCACCCATCAAGGATTCTGTGAGTTTTACAAGGAATACATTGAGTATTTTGATACATTCATACATACCCTCAAAGACACCTGAGCATGTCGTGTGGAAACAAATGTGTTTGCAAAGATTTGCGGACCTGCTGTAGATCCTCACAACAGGTTTCTCTTTGCCCTTCTGCAAAGAGAGAAAGGTCACTCTTGCTCTCTGCAAGAGGGCTCACATTAATGTGAATGATTTTTGCCCAGCTTGTGCAAATGCATGCAACATCCGTGGTGCTTGGACATTTAGGAACTGAAAGCATTAGATGGTTGATTGCATGTTTTTGAATAATTATCCATTCATTCTCTCCTTGCTGCCTAAACATGCATATTTTCCTAACGAAAGCAAAACAGTGCTATCTTCGTGCTATTTTATTATTCATACACACAATGTCTTGCTGTATAAAATAAATGCTTCTGCTTTTCTCCATCAAGGTCCAGGTGCTGCTTAGCTTCGGCTTCCCCAGTCAAGTTTGAAGATTCTGTCAGTAAAGCAAGGATCCCTTTAGAAATCATGCCTGAGATAAGCATGCTGAAAAATAAGAAGACCAGATCCTGTACCCTGAAGAGAGGTGAAGACTGGGCAGGAATACTACGGTGTCAGATAGAGGCCATTACAAAGCAGCACAATCCTGTCATCAATTGAACATTTCAACGGGTAGCCTAGGCTCAGATAAATGCTTCCTGAATCCAAATCTCTTACTGTTCTTCAGGGCATGTATAGCAGTGCCAGACTGAATGAAGAATAAGTCTGCGCTAAAACAAAGAAACCAAAATGTGAATAAAACAATTGAAATCATATTTCATTAAAAATAATTTTAAAAGCTAAGTTAAAGAGATGGTAGCCACTGTTATGTCGAGCTTTTCAGTTTCCCAGAAATCATTGTTTGTGTTGTTCAAATCAGAATGCTGACTCCCTGCCCCATTTAGTCAAATTACAATTTTATTCCAATCTTTCCAAAGAGCTCCAGAAAATCATGCATAATCATACTTTATCCTTAAAATGTAGGGAGTTAAATTTGGAACAAGAGACAGTGACTGGCCTAAAGTCATTGAGAGAGCTCTGTGTTAGCCGGAGTGATGATGATCACTTTCTTGCGCAGCCCAGTATTTAGTTTGAAAAGTAACAACACAATCTGTAGAAACGATGGATGTGTAATATGAATACTGTCCACAAGGGGGCAGAACAATCTAAGTTTTGTCTTACCTACTTGCTGTTCATCATAAAGTTCAGTAGCTGGCTGGTTCCCTGGCATTTGAATGACTCTTAATCCTAAGCATGTAGAGAACAGAGTATCCCCTCTTCCTCAAACTTAGAGATCAACACTTGAGTTGTTTGCTTTGTATTGCCAGATGTGTGACTTGGCAAGAAGTCATCTGGTGCTCTTTCCTATTCCGTGCCTCAGGTATTTGTTGTGCCATTGTCTCCTGACCCCACTTTTATCTTCTGAACAGACAGGAAGCCATTCTGGCTGGTGTAAAAAATTAATAAAAATTGATAAAAATATTTAAAAATTAATGATTTTTTAAAAAGTTGCATTAATGCTGGGGCACACGAGTAAAAAAGAAAAAAAGCTTGGAAAAAATAGGAAGAATTCTCTTTTCATAGCGAGAACCTTTAATATTGAATAATTTGTAAATGGTTATAGTAATTATATGCACTAGAAATCCCTTCATACCTAATGGGATGTACTTCTGAGTAAACAGGCTCTGGATTTCATTACTGAATTATGTTTTACTGCTAAAAGTAGCAATACACTTACCCTCTCCAACAGGACTAAAAATTAATAAAACTTTCCCAAAAATTGTGCGGTTTTTCCAGGGGAAAAGTTGCTGCTGCTTTTTTTTTTGAGAGGGAATGCTGTCTTTCGGCAAGCGTACATCTGTATTATATAATGGAAACTAAAATGTTGTCTTTCGGCAAGTGTACATCTGTATTATATAATGGAAACTAAATTAATTAAGAAAATCTTCTAATTCTGGAAAGAAAAAAATGAGAATTCTATCATTTTCTTTTATTTTTGTGACAGCACATTCATTTTAGAAATGAAACACTACAATGATTGCCAGTACTAATGTGCTTGTGTCACACTTTGGTACAAATGTTGCATTGCTAATTCAGAATGCAGGGAGAAGTTTGACGTGAGGGGGACTAAATGTTAAGCCCACTGGACACTACTAATCTTATTAGACGTACCAGTCCTTTGCAAAAAATAAATAAATTAAAAAATACTAAGGCAAAAATCATGAAACAGCATCCTTTGAATTGTGTGAAATAATTTGGCATTATGAGGAATTATGTGGAAAATCCTTGATCCACTTGGTCATTGACCAATCCTGAAATTCATGGTGTCTTACAATATCGAGGGGGAAATTCATTCAAGTCGTTGAACTGGACTATTAAATGGGAAAGTCTCTGTGTGTGTTTGTGATAGCTTTCTTCAGTTTCTACACCTTTGCTGAATTCTCCTTATGGTTCTGTCTTTGATTTAGTTTATATTTACTGTCTCTCCAAAGCAGCAAGATTCCCTGTTACTGTGGTAAGAAGTACTGTACTCGGTCTCACACTGAATCTTTAGACGTGCAAGATAAATAATTTTCGTGAAAGTCTTGATTCCATGAACGTTGTTTTTCTTCTCTATCTGGCCTGCCTTTTTTGCCTTCGTTCAGCTTCATGGAGGAAGCTCAGAACTGGAGAAAATATGTGAAAAACTCCATATGACTGCAACCTGAAAAAACAGTAATCCCTTGCAATGGAAATCTACAGCAAGAACTATAAGACCTGTCAGGTTTTTTAAAAGTCTGGATAAGAAATGGCTGAGAATGAGGTATCGCTGTTTGAAGATTTCCCTCGAAGTCCAATTTTCACCTGTTTGTGAGTCCTCTGAATTTTCACTGTGTAAGTTTGGTTGAAAATGTGGACACGGGTGCTTGCAGACATGAACACCATATGGGAATGTTCTCCCTATCCCTACTCCATTTTGAATGCATGTCCAGTCCATTCCTTCTTTCGATGAGCTGCCATTCTTCTTTCAAGGGAACATTATAAAAATGTCTCTGCGTGCAATTTTTAATGGAAATTCACAGTGTTCTGCCAGTCCAGGCATAACTTTAAAAATCCTGATCAGGTACATGTTGAGGGACACACAAACCAGCACTTTGTTAATGAGTGGCAACTGGCATCCACGTCTTATGCAGTTCTTATGCAAGTGTAAATGGGCAGTAGGATTCTGGCTGTTGCTTTATGGCTGTCACTGCTGCTTTGCGACTCTCTCTGTCCATACTCAAAACAGTATCTTATTATAGGCTGTTCGTCGTCTGTTTCCTCTTTACTGATAAACCAGGGTGGTGGAGGAGAGCTTTTCAACCCTCCCTCTGGACTGAAGGAACAGACTCCTAACCAAAGAATTTCCACCTCCTTTTTGTACTACAAAGGAATTAATATTGTAGTTTATGTGAGGCATTAGCTGAACCTGGTTGTTTTAAAGTGAATTACATTTATTAAACCCACTTGTAATGTTGCTATAAACTATTGAAATGGGTTGCAAATACATTGATCAGATGCATTCTTTAGATGGAGGTGGTGTTATGTACCATCAGTTTGCTTCCATCCAACCCTAAGAGCTAATGACTTGTGAAAGATTTGTAATGTTGCTATAAACTATTGAAATTGGTTGCAAATACATTGATCAGATGCATTCCTTAGATGGAGGTGGTGTTGTGTACCATCAGTTTGCTTCCATCTTCTTGCAACCCTAAGAGCTAATGACTTGTGAAAGATGCTGTCATTAACCACCCTGCTCAAGTCTTCTAAACTAGAGGTCACAGTTTACTTTATGGTGTCAAGTCTTCCTCTTTCCCTACTGCCTTCAATTAATCCTAGCATTGTCTTTTCCTGTGAATCTTGCCTTATCATATGTCCAAGATACAATAGCCTCCAGCTTAGTCATTTTTAGCTTCTGAGAAGGGTTCAGGCTTGATTTCATCTAGAACCCATTTATCTGTCTTTCAGGCAACCCTGCTACCCATAAAGCTCTCCTCCTCCATTACTTATTTAGCTGGGCAAACACAATTGCCAGCATCATTTAGTTACAACATACTAAATGAAACCAATACTAGATCTCACATTTTATAACCTTAGTCTACAATAGCCTTAGAACTTCAGAGCAGGAAGCTACCCTGTGGATCATTTGAATCCAACCCCTGCACAGCGGGGAATTGAACTCCCAACCTCTGGTTAGACCCAAACCACTGAGCTACCCAGCAGTTTTACTTATTTCCTGCTCAGAACCTGGGAGATACTTCTTTACTATTCCCTCCTCTGTCCAAAAGCAATTCAGAGTCAGATGCTCTATCTGAATAGGCTCCCCTCTCTGTTTCTAACCTCCATTAATAGTGATCTTATCATTCCAGACTTTCCAGATTGTTAACCCTTTTCCAGTATTTTGAATCACAGCAGTTTGCAAGGCAAGATATGTAAGAATGTAAGGCAATAGAATATTGCAAGACAATATAGGATTGTCCTGTAGTATAATGGCTAGGCATAGACCTGCTGGCCTGCTGTTGTTCAGTCCTTTAGTCGTGTCCGACTCTTTGTGACCCCACGAAGAGTCGTGCTATTATCACACAGGTAATCTCAGTGGAGAGAGACAGTTTCAAACAGTAGGTTCCATGATGAAGAGTTGTTAATCTTTTAAGAGTCTGCTCGACTTCTCAGTCTTCTTTTTGCTGACACTGTGTCCTATGACTGTCAAATCCCTCATTCCACTATCTTCTGCCAATGCCCAAACCTTGCACCAAGAAGAAAAGTTTTGCAGAGAAATACACCTACTTCAGATCTTCTATAGGACCTTTCTGGGAAGTGACCAGACCAGAAGTTTCCAACTGTTGGCCTTCTTGATGTTTTGAACTTCAACCCTTGAACTCTGGTGTGAAGCTTCTAGAACTGAGGTGGAAGTATTGAGAGGACCAACGCTTGAGAGCCCCTGAAATGCTGAGGTCAGTAGCAGTGCAGGAGATGCCTCCCAAGAGAGAGGGCCCCTCCTTATTTACCTTCCCATGAAGCAACTCCTGGGATATACACCAAACTGGAGCTTTGGTTCAAATCTTGCATTAGTCCCTTGAGAGGGAAAGTCCCAATGAAATAATGGGAATTTTCCCTGCCCGAGGATAGCACTTTCAGGTTTTATTCATCTTTATCTATATCCTATTGTATATTAATGCAAATTGTCAGTATATCTGCTGTTTCTACAACTGATATATCTGTAAAATGGTGTGTGCATGCGCACACAGAGAAAATGGAAGAATTATATATATACACATATAAATTCCCCTTCACATCAAAAGCATTCCATGGTTTGGAGATTAATTGTAAGCTCCAGTAGCATTTGGCAGGTTAGAAGTAAGTGCTATGAAGTAAATAGTGTGGGATTTTATAGGATAGAGGAGAAGAATGAAAAGGTTTGCTTGGGCTGCCGTCCCTTTTTTAATATGCTCTGTGGCCCCTTTTCACATTTTCTTTGATAGGTGGGCCAGAGAACAGGGATTTCCCCCCCTTCCTCTTTAATTTTGAAGGCACATCTCTTGAACCAGGTCCAAGACTATTGAATTCCTTCAACCTTTTGGCTGCCACCCCCCAATGTTTCTCAGTTGCAGAGCAAATTCATTCACATTGGCCAATCCTCACATTTTCCTGAAACGGACAATAATGACTGCTTCAAATGTTGTGTCACCAACTTACTGGAAGCTTTTATTCTCTAGAATAATGTAGTGGAGCAAAACATTTTTTGGGAGTTGCAGGTATTGCAACTACATGACATGAATAAAGCAAAAGGCATGTCATATATACTGTAGAGGAGTAGTTTTCAATTTTTGAGCCTTCCTGATGTTTTGGACTCCAGGCCCCAGTATCCTTGATGAATGGTCATGTGGACTAGGTGTCCTGCAAGCTGAAGTCGAAAATACCTGGAAGATCAGAAGCTGAGACCACCACTGCACAGATAGCATTTCAAAAGTCAATGGCCACCACTGAAGTGTCACCATAACTACCCATAAAGACATAAGAAGAGTTTTGGAATAGAAGATCCACTGGAAGACTTGAAACAGGATGCATAAAAACAACTGAATAGTAACATCATTGTTACTCCCAGCAATGCAACTGGTATCATAGAGCAGTGTGCATCTCTGAGAGATAGGAAAGGGCAGTGTCAAATGTAGACATCAAGAAAGCAGGAGAGAAATGTCTATGTGGGAAATGGAGGTGTGTAGATCAGTGTCTTCTGAACTACAATGCCCAGAATTGTACCCAGGCAGTTAAGGCATACTTCAAAAGCACAAATCTGCATGCCTTTAGTGGGAGACAGCAGATATACCACTCTTTAGATCTGATAGTATTTCAAAAGTTGTCCTTAATTGTCCTTGTTATTTTTTTAAAAACTTAATAGTCTTGGAATGTTGCACAGCCTTACATGATAAGCTGTATAATGATTTTGGAAATAAATAAAGGTGGGATCAGATGGTGGTCCAGGTTGTGTTTTGGACACGCATGCACACACTGATTATAAAGTGACAATGTCCTTGTTATAGCATCTTGGAACCCTGCTTTAAGATGAGCCCAAGGTATGTGCCACTTGAAGCACAGCAGTAATGACCCTCACCAACCCACCTCATCTCATGATGCCCAGTGTCCAAACCCATGTTAGTTTCTGTTATGTGCCATTGAGACTTATAGAGACCCTAACAGAGCTTTCAATATAAGCAAGATATTTAAGGAGTGGTTTTACCAGTTCCACACCCCCAGTCGGTTTCTTTGGCT